GACAGGACCACCACCAATCCAAAATGCTGGTGAGAACCCTGTGCCTCCAATCCTTTTATTGTTGAATTTGTATGTTGTTTTATTATTATTATTATTATTATTATTATTATTATTATTGTATTTTCGCGTTTTTTACTTCTATGACAAATTGTTTTAGCCTCATTTTGTCTGTAGTTTAATGTTGTTTTTATATATATTTTAAATATATGATGAATTTATAAAATTTTTACCGTATTTAATCTTTGTACATTTTCATGTTTATAATTGGTTTTATGTTTATAATTGGTTTTATGTAGGACCATGTTTATAATTGGTTTTATGTAGAACCACATTGGAAATAAGTTTTACTTTCATAGGCCATCCTTGCAGTATCTTTTATTGTTATATCATGTTCATCCTGCCTTGTGCAAATTTTATTGCTGTTTTGGTTTATTGCCATTCTGACTTGTTGCTGTTTGAGTCCATTGCCGTTCTGGTGAAAAAAAGTGTTTTGTTTTATAGCTGTTTTGGTTAATGCTGTTTTGACTTATAGCCATTTTGGTTTATTGCCGTTTTGACTAGAAACTTAAACTTCCATAAAGTACTAGGCCTAGCCTATCTCAGCACGCTTTACCCTTCCCGGTAGGGATGTATTAAGCCTCTTATCTCTGGTCTATAAACAGACCTACAAGGCCCTCGTTTCTAACAAATTAAAAATGTGTTTCTTCTTGTAATTTAATTCTTAAATGATGCAATCTACTCTGTAGCCTCAGCCAGGCCCTAGCCTAGTGTGAGAGTTATTGAATTAAATGTCATTCATGATGATATGTTGCTTGTACCGTGGGCCTAGGCCTATATGTAATGCTTCATGTTTTCTATTCATACTGGAGTAGAAAAACATAAGTTGAGTTGAATGCACATATATTTTTGATATGAATACTAATAATATGACTTGTAATGTTACAGTAGGCCTAACCTATACAAACAACTTTTGTGGCATTATGTTGTTGAATGTAGGTAAAAATGGCCCCGGTAAAAATTGCCCCGGTAAAAATGGCCCTGGAAAAAATGGCCCCGGTAAAAATGGCCCCAGTAAAAATGGCCCCAAATGACAAGTACTGTAGGTAAAAATGGCTAAATTTAAGTGTCTAAAACTATACTAAATAATGTAAACTGAGATACTATATGTAAATATGGCAATTATGCTAAAAATTTAAATGGTGTGTAATTGTGAGGGTAGGAATATAATTATGGTAGGATTAAATGGTATTTCTAAATCCCACAAACCTCCCAAAATACACTGTAGAAAACAATTCAATTGTGATTGACTCACTTGGTATATGAACATCTAACTGTAATCATAATTAAAGGGTTTTGATGGGGTTTGCAGTGTGTTTGGAGGTTTGTGGTGTATATGCAAGTATTTTTTCAAAAAATCAACATTTTAACCAAAAAATAGGTTCTTATGAATATTTAATTTTCTTATTGATTAGATGTTCATATAAACTCATTGTTTGTGGGGTTTACCAATACCCGGATTGAATTTCTAGAAAATTGCGATGCCACAAATAAATTATTTTAGTTTTAATAAATGCATGATTTATGTTGATTTATTGATTATGTTGTTGCTATTTTTTAACATTTAAATGGGGAAAAAAATAAAAAGTGTTATTCATGGCCTTTTTATATCTTTGAATATTTTATCATTGAATGTAATTCCTGAAAAAAGTAAAATGTAAATTTCAATGTATTTGATGTTAGATTCCTTTTTAAAACTAAATTATTTCAGTTAAAAAAAATGCATATAATGATTAAAAAAAAAAATCAGTTTTAATACAGAATTTTATTTTTGGGCCCATTTTTACCTACCTGTTATTTTGGGCCATTTTTACCGGGGCCATTTTTTCCTGGGCCATTTTTTCCGGGGCCATTCGTACCGTACACCTGTGTTGTCATGCCATACCAAATTTTATTGTATTCCAGCACGAGTAGGGCCAAACGTTTTGGCTTTGGTTTAGTCATGAAGGTTTTTACTCTAATAAAATATACAGTTAGCCTTGGCCTAAAGTGTGTTATATTGCTGTAATGGTGTTAAATATGACAAGTTTGTCCTGTTAAAAAAGTGTTAAAAACTTTTTACAATCAAATAAACTTAAACAACAGAACATTTTATAATATTTGTCAAAATAAATGTTTGATGTGTCTATATTTACAGTACCATGTGCTCTCTCGGTTAGGGTTGGCAACAGCTATGGACGCTCACCATTACCGAGATAGCGTACGGTACTGTAGTCCTAACTTTTAAAATACTGCTTTAAAAAACGAATTGAGACTAATAAACAAATTGACCCACCCAGGAATGATTTGGGATAGGCAGTTAGGCCTACTGTATAAACAACCAGTTTGATAAACAAGTACCTACCACATGTTATGTTTTGTTGTAACGTAGGTTATGCCTCTCAATTTGATGATTTTCCATGATGGAAGCTACATACAAAGACCTTATGGAGTCGTTGAAGTTGCATGATTACAGGTAAGACTTAACTTGTGAGTATAAAGTTGTGTGCATCGAATAAAGTTATACCTGTTAGATCACTTTTCGAGGGAATGTGGATCTCCCTCAGCAAGACATCCTGATTAAAGGAGTGCTGAGTACCTATAAGTAGAAGCAGCAGCAGCATACAAAAAAAAAATAATTTCCCAATATTTATAGAGGGTGAAACTTCCAGCGTATACAGTACTAGGAAGTTAGCTGATATTTAGGGGCCCTCTTTAAATGTATGAAATAATGATGCTTTTGTCAGCGAAGTCTCTTTAAGAGGTTTAGGGAGTGGAGTTGTTTTTAGTTGTGAGAAAAAGTCCTACAGTCACAGGAATTGAACCCAGGACCCTGAGATTAAGAGGCAATCATCTTTACCACTAAGCTATTCAAATTAGACTATAAAACCTAGTGCCCATAAAACAGATATTGTGGTGCATTGGTACAATTTAGCCTAATGAAAGTCCTCTTTATCTTGGTGAAATTTAGGCCTTCGCAGAGATGGTTTGGTTGCTTGCATAGCCTATTATTTTTATATAATGGATAATTATCATATTTCTCTATCAGGCATTTTTGTCTAACCTGTGCAAGTCATGTTTGTGTTATCAGCATAAAGAGAAGATTTTTTAAATGAAATAACAAGAAGCTATTTTGTTTTACACTTTTAAATGTTAAAATTTTACACTATTAAAATATTTAAATTGTTTTTAGTACAAGTAAACAGCTTCTTGAATTAGGTGCTGATCCAAATTGCATATCAAAAGAAGATGGTGTCAGTGCTTTTCATCTGGCGGTGGGTTTGGATTCCCAAACGTCATTGAAACTTGTTGAGCTATGTATCCAATATGGCGGTAACCCCAATGTGAGGTCAGTTGATTTGTCTCTGCAACAGTATTTATTTGGTGTTCTTGCTTTTAAGTGTAATGTCTGACTAAACTCTGTTCAGTACACACAAATGATTTTTGATATCAACAAAGAATAAATCTAGAATAAACAATAAACCAGATTATACAGATAATGATAATTTCAAAATTAATTTAACAATGGTAATGATGCATCATTATTCTTAATTCAGTTAATGTAAGATAAGGTAATACCTTTGTTATGTATCAGTTGCAGAGAACATGAAATTCATGTTCGTAACAAAAAGTGCTTTAGCATTCTCTACTGTTTAGTATATTTTATTTCACTGAATTATCTCATTGTTTACTTCATGTCATAAGACTTTCATTCAGCCAGCATTCCCAGGCTTCTGTACTATTGTTGAATAATTGTTGATTATTCATTGTTTATTCGCAATAATAAGTGATATACTTAATGTAAGACACACCTCAATTTTAATTACCTCGTTTTTTAATTGGCTAGTTATAATTTATTATATTTAATCTGATTGGTTGGTTTTTATCTTCTTTCTGTTATACTTCTGTAAATAGTAAACATATATGGATGGGTGAGATTTTCTCATCAGTATTCTTGAAAATGATCAAATAGATCGAAACGCTGAATCTCAAAATGTCTCTGTCTCTTTTCGGAGTTACTGTCTTTTTGTTTTATTTAAGACAAATTAGTGGATCCTCTGGTTTTTTAAAGTGCTTTAGATTTGACTAATTTTAAAACTAAAAATATGCATTAAATGAGATTAACAAAAACAGATATGTGCACAAATAAAATACTTATAACCTACAGAAAGCAGTTGACATACATTGATTAATTTAACAAAAATAGTTGCACTATGTTATTTAATTTTATTTCAAATCCAAATCAACAGCAAAAATTAATCGCAGCCTAGCTCACTCGGCTGAACTGGTGGTAGCCACTGTGTGCTTGCTGAACCGTGCAGATCTCTTGGTCCCCAGTCCAATTCCCAATGCTGCTCTCCTTGTATTTCAGCTGGAGGGCTGAAATGCTAGTTTATAGCACACCCGTCTTTTGAATGAGACCTTTAGCTATTGGTCCTGTGTGCTTTCTGCTTCAATATTGCATGTTAAAGAACGCAGTACACTCTTCGAAAAGAGTAGGAGATCCTGGTGTACTGCCCAATCACCACTAGATGGACCCACTGGAAATAAGCCTTCGCACTTAGTCGGATATCCTTGGTGTGATTCACACCAAATATATTCCTCTCCTACCTATCCTATCCACTTACAGGCTTGAAAAGACACAGACAAGATAAGAAACAGGCACAGGCACCATATAAAAAAAATGACAGCAAGTGTACAAAGAAAAAAATGAAAAGTTATTCCAAAATTAATTCAGTTCAAAGGTCATTCAAAAATTTTCATTTTGTTTTTTTAATTACACTAACAGATCTCACGAAGGGATGACTCCTGTAATGGTGGCTGCGAGCTGGGGTCGATTTCAGGCCTTACAGATCCTGCTGGTAAACGGTGGTGATCCGGAGTTAAGGGATGAAGACAATAAGGACGCCCTAGATCACGCCATTGACGGCGGAAGCTGGGACTGTAAACAGTTACTTCAGCAGCATATGAATCTCATATGCGAACATGAAGATGATGAGGATGATCAACGTCTTTATAGTGAACCCAGCTACTCTTATGAAAGTAAAGATTGCAAATACTTTTCTACTTTTTTAGGGCTAGATAAATTTTTTGTTCTTACAACTTTTTATATTTCCATAATTTTACCAAGTATAAGCCCAGTAAGTGGCTACCGTAATGCACAAAATATATACCTGTAGTCTTTGTGAAATCTGTTATATTATTTATTATAATTACAATGAATTTAAAAGAACTATTTTCATTTAAAAATTATTTTAGGATATTACAGTGCCTCATCAAATATTAATTCACCTTGTTCTGAAAGCCGATTGGATGATTCTACAGAATCTGAGGGCGCTTTTCATGGATTTGATGTCACTTCACCAGACCATCCATTTGCATTTGTTAAGTCAAACCCCCTCCCAACTCAACTTAATAAAACTGCAATCATTCATCACGACCGAAGTCATCATGAAACTTTCAACAAATCTATGAACTTCGATGCATCATTAGAAACACTGGAGGTGTCTTTTCTTGACAAGAACAATGAACAAACCATTTCTATTCATGATAGTACTTCTCCACTAGAGTTCATTTACCACGACGAAGAGCGGGGCATCTCGCTGATTGAACGAAGATGTTATTTGAATAATAACTCAGCAAATGAGAGTGCAATCTCGGAAGACAGTGATACCTTTGACCCCCTTGATGAAACTGTACTATATAATTGGCAGGATGCTTTGAAAGAGCCCCCATCCAAAAGCAAACATGACTTGGATAATTTAACTTCCGAACAACTTACCCTTGAATTAACATCATATGGATATAACCCAGGCCCTATTACTTCAACCACTAAGGACATATATAAAAATAAGCTGGCGAAACTGAGAAAGGAAAAACGAAAAACGAAAGATGCAAATAGTTCAAAAGGTACACAAATCTGTTTTTAACTTATAAATAATAATCCAATCCACTCATTCTATCATCGTTCAGAATCCAATCACTAGCTAATGTTCCTCAACAAACTAACCTAAAATCTTTAAAAAAATGTTCTGCCTTCTAAAAAAGAGGCCAGAATATGATGTTTTGAAAGGCTTTTTATAAGGATTAAATTAATTCACATTAATGGTGGATTTTTGTTGGGAACACAACAGATTTTTCTTACCTAATTTTTTATCATCACCAATATCATTTTAAAATAAGCAGTGGATCAAACCATTATCATCAACTAATCATCATTTAGTTATTACTATTCATTATAATCATCACCATTTCATCATATTATATTCAAATATAATTTATTTTATTATCATCCAGTCATCATCATCTGGTCATCATTGTTATCATAGAGTAGTAATCATCATCACTAGATGCAAAGTGCAGTACAGAAGCATGTAATGATGAAAGTTCATTTTTTATGTTTTTATGACATTTTTTTAAATAAATTCTAGTTGCAGATTATTCACAAGAGCTCTCCGATTTCATGCAAAAGTGTAGCATCAGCACTGGAGAAGAGGATGAAGGCCTAATGTGTGCTACATTTCAAAATCCTGACCCCCAGCGTAAATGGCGGGAGGGCACCATTAAATCGTCTTTTAATTATTTACTACTGGACCCAAGGGTCACAAGAAACTTGCCCCACAGGAGTAAAGGACTTGATGATAGCGAGATATTTAAGATTTTTCTTGCAGCTGTATTTTATATCGGTAAAGGCAAGAGAGGACGACCATACGCTCATTTCTATGAAGGATTGGAACAAATAAGAAATCCACGAATGAAGGTAATTTTAATAGGGTTATCTTTTTCAAATTAATTTATTGTCAATTGTTACTTTCGTCCTCATCATGCTTTCAGAACTGTTAACATTGGCTATATATTTAGGTCAGAGGGCTAATAATTATTTTAACCAAAATAATGCAAGGTGTGAAAAAGTCGGTGATTCTGTTTCATAAGCAATTTGCACAGTTTTAGCTCGGAAAGAAACTGTTCTACTTTGTTTACTCTTCATGTTACATAACTCACCTTGAGCTTAACGTTGGCTGAGAAGTTTAATTGTTCCTGCTTCTTGTGCTAAAGACCCTGATCCAAACAACCCAGCCACCGTGAGGTATTAATTGCAGGCCGATTACTTGACTCCTCAAATAACCCTCATGGTGAGAGTTAGTCGAATGACCGAGCGGTTAAGGCAGGGGCACCGTAACCATAGCCAACAATACCGGTATGTGTTCGTGGCCGCCTCGCTCCTAGTTCAGGTGGTCTTCTCAGATAAGGACTATAAACCGTAGGCCCAGTGTACACAAATGCTTATGTGCACTTTAAAGAACCCAGTACATCTGAGATGAGTAGGGGCATACCCCGGTGTACTGGTCCACTCGGCTCCTGTCGTGGACAGATGAAAGGTGCTCCGGTTTACCGGCTGCAGAGGACATGAAGCGACCCTCGGGGGAGGAGAACGTTATTGAAAAGAGCAACATCTTGTCCACTGCGCCACGAGCAACGATTGTTAGAATGGCGCAATATAAATGGAACGATTTTGTTAGGAGGGATAAGGTCATGTGTCGATTACTGTACAGTGTTACTTCCTTCTTAATAGCATGTGCCACCGAAGGCAACAACCAGTCCGCGGGCCAACTCCGGCCAGCCAAAGATTTGAATCCGACGCTGTGCAACCGCTAAAAAATAAATAACTTTTTCCAGCCGATTTTTGTTTATATATTTTTTTCTGTTATTAGAGCACGACCACTTAATATTAGAACACGACCACTTACTCTGGCTTTTTCTGAGTTTATCTCACTGTTCGTGCCCTACAGCATTGACATAGGGAGGGGGACTAATGAGGAATAAAGGATTAAGTGAGGGGTGCTGATATGATGCGTTTTCTAACCATTGGCTGCACCAACGCGTTGAGCAGGCCAGGGTGAATGTCATTCTGTTATAAACACTGTTTTTGAAAACTTATTTTAACAGTCTGAGAGTGCCATTTCCAGGCATCTAGAGGTGTCCATTGTTTTTTTTTATTTGCTCACATGAGCTCCAACCACATGGTGGGGCTGAGGTATGTAGGCTCTTTTTAGGGATATTGGACTCCTCGTAGGGGAATTTCCGGCGCTGGCATTTTAACTAGCCTACTAAGCACTCAAGTTAATTTTTGGTTCTGGTGGTAGGGTAGGGAACCTGGGGTGGTGCAAGTTTTATTTTTATTCCTACCTCCCCCTTGTATGCTACTGAATTCCCTCATTTTTACCACATAAAGCCTATCATACTGTAGTTGATTTTGAAAAAAAGAAAGACTGCATTATAATACAGTAAACCTATATTTAGGAAGACTTTTCCTATAAAAGAGAATGGGTTGTCTGTCATTAAAAAAATGTGGAAGTACACAATTACTGTATGTCGGCCCACTGTTGTTTTTAACAGATTGAAACTGGCTACCAGCTTGAAAAGGTTGAATACCTAGGGTATATAGTAACAAGTTACTTTAATTCAAGTGCGAACAGCGATATCAATAATAGCCAATAGAAAGTTGACCCAAGTTTATTTTTGGTAAAATGTAATGCAATGCGAACATACCTGTTAGTACATACAGTAAAAGAGTATGGAATTGCAAGCAGTCTGTCTGTTCAGCTTTCCTTGAAAAGGAATCTTGAAAAGGAATCTTAAAAAGTACTACTACAAACTAGAGGGCGCCCTTTAAAAGAAAGTAAAAGGCATTTGTATCATAACGAGTGCTTTGTCTATAGATTGCAGGTTTCGAGTTTTAAACTCTATTCGAATTCTAATAGGGTGCCTCCTATCTCGTGGCATTACTTCGTTTTTTCATTGAATGCATGCAAAAGAAGGATAGTTCTCTTGCTATTCTCTACTCTTTGATAAATGGGCAGGAGTTAAATTATGAAATACAGAACAAAATTATGTTTTTTTTTTTGTGATACTTTTTTTTAATCATTTTTTCATATGTGTATACACAGCCAAGTGACAAAGTACAGCATATTGTGGATATCTGGGAGTCAGGGCTTGGTGTTGTATCTCTACATGTGTTTCAGGGAGTGATACCTGTGGAAGCTTACACAAGAGAAGCATGCATGGTGGACTCACTTAGTAAGTTGTATTTGAAGTTATACTTTTTTGGCTCAATACATTTACCACTTTCCCCCATACTATAATATATTCTGACTGTTCAGTCCATGTAATGGTGGTGTCCCATAGAAACTGGATTATGCATTAAAATGTACAGTATTTTTAATTTCATACAACATACATGATAAACATGTTTACTTGAGTAAACAATATACCTAAACATGCATTTATGAGATCAACACGTCCGTGTGTTAATGGGACGTACACATGTTCCAGGCCATGCTCTGATAGGTCAGTTTGATTGACACTCCGAAAAGGTCAATTACTTCAGTATTAATATAAAGTTAACTTCTATTTATCTGACATTGATTAATTAATTCTGGTATTAGTGGTAATCTTTAGTCTAGTGGCCAGGTATTAGTAAAACTCTGTAGAACATGTTATCGGGTCTATCTTGAAGCAGCGCCGCAAATGTCTCGCAAATCAGTGGCTGACTTGTAGGCTAGTACCAAATAGAGCGCACCGCGAACAAACGTTAAGTACCTAGCGCGAAATGCCTAGGCCTCTGGAAGTCCCCAGGGGTAGTTGCCAGGTTGTTTAGAAATTTTCATTTCAAATTTAGCAAAAATGGTGTATATACTCTGATATTGACAGTGTTTTATATATTTTATAGGTCTAGCAAGGCTCACGAATGCACGACGTGGAGATTATTACGGAGTAGCAAGCACATGGACATCCGAACGACGGAAGCAGCTTGGATCACACCTGCTTCACAAATGCATGCAAATCTTCTTGATAGAAGGCGAAAGACAAATCCGTCCAATTGATCTTCATGGTGGAAATAAATAAAATGCATGATTAATTAATTATTTATTATTAATTAATATGATTATTAATTTATTTTTAATTATTAATGCTTTTGGTTGCTAAAAAAGGTGCTTTGTTATGGCCATGTGCCATTCTCTTTATTTAAAATGGATTTTGAGCCACCATTTTAACACCATTTATACTCAACTCACTTTCTCACAACCTGAGAGAGGATTGTAGCATTTTTATTTTGCAAACATTCTTTTTTAATGTCATGGCTATTTTATTTTGTTAGCGCTGGACTCATTTCTTTTGTAAGTCTCTAAGTTACACCATAAATCATAGCTTATGTGTAAATAAACAGTGTAACAGAGCACTTAATCGCTTAAAAGAAATATTGTACAGTACTGCAGTTTTTTATGCGATCACTTATGTAAGCAAGTAAAATGCAATTTTATTTCTTTTAATAAATGAGTGTATTAAGTGTTTGTGATTTTAAAAGCTAGTGTTTTAAAATAACTTTTACCTGTAATATGATAACTTGTATACTGATTTATGTTCATTTTTATTCATATTTCACTCAAATTAACTGGAAAAATTGTTTATTGTTACTGTACTATAATGAATGTCTTTCCTAGAAAATAGCTGTGTGCATTAAAATCCACTTATAATGTTGATGTTATAGTTAATGCATTTTACCATACAATCCTGTTGAAATGAGATGTGATAAACCTATGTAAAATGTAGTGTTAGAATAATACAGTACTGTTGTATTTCCAATGGTGGGCGAGTGGCAGATGGGGGTGTGCTTTCTGTTACTGCCAAAATACATTCCAAGACTATGGTCACACCTCCCTGTGCACCCCACTCAATAATCCCCAATGGATATGTCNNNNCCCGCCCCCCCCCCCAACTAATAAATCAACCTGTGAGACATTTTAATACCAGATAAATATTGATGATTAAAATCTATCCTATAATTGGTGCTTTTATATATTTGTTTTTAATATGATTAACCATGACATTTGGATTTTATGTTCAGTTTCATATAATGTAAATATTTGCTGTTTGGTAATTCTAGCCAAATATCTAGATAACAAATGTATTATACTGTAAAAGAAATACAGAATTGCATTTCCATTTATTTTTTATGTAAAAATTTTGCTTAAATTAAACTTTTAAGTAATTTGTTGATGTTGTTATTGAATTGACAATCTTGTGTACTTTAGAGAGAGCTAGGCAGAAGAGACAAGATGGTGCAGGGGGAGCTGAGAGAGCAAAGTGAACTAAACTGTGTGTGTGCAGTGAACCATGAATATCCATTGTTTGCAATGGCTGATCTAGGAATTTGAAATAGAGGGGTCCCAGATGGGGAATTTCACAGATTGAGGGTCTATACGCCCTCAGCCCCATCATGGTTAGGGTTGAGGTAAGAAAATTTATAATTATGGTGCCTCTACATGGTCGGAAATGGCACTATTAAACTCAAAATTCGAGTAGGTTTTCTTTCTCAATTTTTTTTAAGTTTTGAAAAATTTAGAAGGGAGGGGGGGAATGGCAAGCTGGCTGGCGCCCCCCCCCCCCTTCTTGAATCCACCACTGGTTTGAGTGTTCAAACTTTGACCAATCACTAATAATTCCATAACCTATGTGCAGGGTTCAAAGCATTGCTACTGTACCTGTGACAAAATAATTAAAGGTTGAGGGGAACAAGCTGATGATCAAATTAATCCAAGCATTTAATCGCATAATTAATTTACAAATATTCTCTGCAAGTAATTTTGCAGTTGAGCTATAGCTTGGGTAGTTACATTGCTTGCTGTTTGGGTAGTTACATTGCTTGCTGTTTCACTGAATGTAAGCATTTCTTGCTTTCCAATCAACGGTTTGGGTTCTAATATATATCTTAAAGCCAGGTTGCAGAGGAGAAAAATATGTTGATATGTTGTACAACTGATTTTTTCCAAGACTTCCAAGACCAAAAATGGTGTTTGACTAAAAACTTGGAAACAGTAATGAGATACAATTTTTTTTTAACTGAGGGGTTTTTAAATACTCAAAAATCTGTGTCTCATAAACTGTTTCCATCAAACACCATATTCGTGTCTTAAAAAAATCCTTTGTACAATGTATCAACAAATTTTTTTGCTCTGGAGCCCAGCTTTAAATCATACTTTTTTAATAGTCCAGTAACTACAAGCTCAAATTCCTACACTGAGGACCTGCCTTCATTATACCAGATACCAGCCCTGTGGTCATAAACATTTTACTAATGGTCATAAAACATTCAAATAGACCTAAAGGTAATTGGTATATTTAATGCTGAGTCACCAGCCTATCGGGTCATGATCAACAGTAAATAGTAGGATTATTATAATCTGCTGGTTTATTTGCATAAATGACAAAGTGCATTAGTGTTAATCATGTGACCCATAGGCTAAGAGTTGAAATAGCTGGAGCCTTGGATATATTTCTTTATATTCATTAAAGAAGTGAATGTTTTTGATCCGTTCTGAAGTTTTAAATACTTCTCTTTTATTGAAAAATAAAAACCGCATTCAATTTAAAAGTATATAATAAATCAATAATATTTTTCCAATTTCAATAATGTTCCATAGCTAAGTACCTTAGTCCAGTATAACATTTCTTTGAGTTAGTGGTAGGCCTATATACTGTATATATATATAATTATTTATACATTTTTTAATCCTCTCTTTTAAAACCATACTTCTTCCCTTTTTAGAAGCTTTTTTTTTGTTACATGAACCCCAGTTTCTCTCCAGTAGCGGTGTGGCCAGACGTTTCACCGACAGACATTACCATTCACCAACCAGTGATTTTGTCGACACCACATTTTGCCGAATGGCAGTTTGCCAATATAGGACGTTTGTGCTGACTGCCAATTTGCCAACAGACAATTCGCCAACACTTTAAATTGTGAACATGTTAATGGATGGCTATGTTTCACAAGTGACAAGTTTGATTTTTATTCGATTATTTAATTTCACCACTAACGCACAGATTCTCTTTTAAATCGTGGAGGCAGGGCCGATGGAACATTTTTCAAAGTGGTGTCCACAGTAGTAAGACGAATAGGAATATGATGGCGACGGAGCTGACCATACAAAAATCTGCATAGATATTATATATTTTCTGCCAAAAAGTGGGGTTCCACCAGGGGTGGCGCCAGGACCTGCCCGATGGGGGGGGGGAGGTCCCCGATAGGGGGCCGATTCCCCTGATGAGGGGTAAAATTTCCCTGATGGAAGCAAAGTGGGCGTGGTCGATCTTCGATTAAAAAGTTTAAAAGTGGTCCACAGGCGAAGCCCCTGAAAATTTTGACAATTTAGGGGTCTCAAAGGCTTATTTAATCGATTTTAGATTTTTTAGAAATATAATGTGTAGAAATATACTAAAATGTAGAAAATACATTTAATTTTTTCTTCTCCCCAACGAACTGTCCTTTTTCTCCCCAACGTTATATAATTATTATTTTTTAATGAATGAGTATTTTTATGTACACTTTCTTATTATTTTTTAATTTGTCATTTTCTGTATCTAATTGTATATAAACAGTATACTTAATTTATATGCTTTTTTTTTTTTATAGCTAACTTAATTAATTCCTCATTTATTGAATTGTATATACCCATTAATTTATTGATTTGCCTAAATTGCCATACATTCAAATTGTAATTCAGCCTGTGCTGTTATTTTTTAATTTTTATATGTGAATTAATAAAGATACTGACTAATTGATATTGTAATGTGTCCTCCCACCTTTATATTTTAACTTTACTGTATATTTGTAATACATTGTATTCTGGTGTATTTTAAAAAATTTTAATATTATTACTTTTAAAGTATATTGTACATTTCAATTTTTCCTTAAATTTGCAATAAAGTCACCCTGTATATCTTGTGTCTTTGTCTTTCATTTTATCTCAATTTGTACCAATTTCAAAAATTCCCCTTTATATTGTGTGTAATTAATAATAATAATAATAATAATAATAATAATAATAATAATAATAATAATAATAATAATAATAATAATAATTTATTATTATTATTGTTATTGTCATTGTTATTATTATTATTATTATTATTATTATTATTATTATTATTATTATTATTTGTCTTCCATAAAACAAAAAATGTCGAAAAAACATCACTCACGTCGAATCCGGGTGTCGGTGAATGTTGTTTCGGTCAACTGTCTGTCGGCCAAACGTCGTCTGCAAGCAGGCATTAGGCGAAATTCCTAGTAGTATAGGGCCTATCTAACGAGTAGCGGAACTAACCTGCCATTGTAAATATGGACTGTGGCCTCTGTGTGTTTCCGTAGTTTCAGTCTCGCATATCATCAACAACGTCCCTGGAGCCTGTAGACGGCAACAACAACTCAACTTGTCTGTCAGCATTTTCTGTAAAAAGACTACTAGGCATACTGTCGACTACGTTCCAATGTGTTTGGTTCATCATTTAGGTAATATTATACAGTTATGTTATATTTCTGTGGAGGATTGTATGCCATCGAAGTTGATAAGAATTTTATCCTGATTTTCAATCAAGCCCAGGCTAGCCTACAGACAGGAGGACCTAGGCCTAAACTTGTTACTAGGCCTAGGCCTCTAGTAAGCCCTAGTAGGCCTAGGCCTAGGCCTAGTAGACTAGCTTTGGCCACAGTCAACTCGGCCACAAGTCAACTCGGCCACAAGTCAACTCGGCCACAAGTCAACTCGGCCACAAATCAACTCGGCCACAAAAAGTTCGGCTACAGCCAACTCGGCCACAAGTCAACTCGGCCACAAGCCTAATTATTTTATAGGCCTAGGCATCAATCAAACTACCGTAATGACTTTATGTATGTTTTTTAATGTCGAAATTCTAAAACCGATTAAAAAAAAAATTAAAACGAGAAACAAAGAGTATGCAATGTAACCAACTAACTTATTTTCAAATCCATTTTACATTTTATATTTCTAAAAAACCCACCATATTACATCACAATACTATCCTCCCATCATGGCGAAATCCAGGTTTTTCATTATCCATGTGATTGTGAATTATTAACAACAGAATTACGAATAAGAATACACTTTTTTTTTTTTTTTATAAGAACCAGTAAAATTTTGCACAGGCTCATTGTTCTTTTTTTTTGTCTGATTTCAATACGTTTTTTTTTTTATTTCAATACATAAAATTAATATGCACTGATATTTAAAAAAAACACGCTGTTTTGACACTTGACACTGTTCTGCTGACATGCGTTCCAATAGATGTGAAGAATATATGTTGTTTTATGGGCTTAATTCAATGTGAAAAGTAATATATACGGTAGTCAGATACCTTAAATAAAACGGCACTTGAATTTATGTTATTTTATTATTGTTATTGTTATTACTGTATTATTATTATTATCATTATTTTCATCATTATAATTATTGTTGTTTTTGTTATTATTGTGATGAACACAAACAGTACACAAATAGGTGAATGAAGGCAATATGGTTGCTAAACGAACAGACATGTAAAAATATATTTAAAATTTTTTTGTTCCCCTACGGAAGTCCTCTCCGATGGGGCCCTCCCCCAGGCTTCCCTGACGAGGAGGATATAGCCCCCCCAGCACCCTTCTGGTTAGTAGTTAGGCCTGTCTGTATTTAGATATATTTCTGGGAAGCTACCGGAATCAGGGGAGAGATCGGAGGCAAGGTGGGGGAAAGAGGGAAATACTGTGGGGAGGAGGGTGAGGTGGCATGGATGAGTGAGCACCTTCTTTTGCATTTTTGACTGTTTATATTTGTCTCCATGATGATATCAGCTGTCCATGGTTATCGTCACCACATGCAACAAAATAAAACAATCAGAAAACTCACTAAATCTTATCTAATGAATGGATTCCTTTGTATTATCTGAATTATTATTTTATTTTAGCTACAGGCAGACCAGATTAAATGTTGAAGATGAATAGCACTAACAACATGTCGCAACGTGCTCTTGACAAGACTGTTGAACGCACATTTCAATACGATGAATCCCTTCCTTCATTGCCACTACCTACTCTAAAGAAGACTCTGTCCAAGTACCTAGATTCAGGTAATTATAATAATAATAAGTAGAGTCGGAAACAAACATACATTACTGTATGACAATTACAATACAGTATACATATTCTTGTTATATTGTAGCAAACTTCTCCACTTATCTGAAGCTTGCATAGTGAAATTGGTTTTAATAATAAATTTATTGTTTTTTATCATAATTTCACTTTCATTTATATCTGTAAACCACTGTTCCGCAATCTATGTGTCGCGACCCAGTGTTTTGGTGTCGAACAGATTTTGATAGGTCACATATCTCTGCAGATTATGGAAATTTACTTAATGGGAACGAATACAAAGGAAATCAAAATTACAGTAAAGAAACGTACATAAAAGTGTGGCATACGCGTCTGTGTACTTTTGTAATGTGTGCGTTATCAATAGTTTCATTTCCAATAATATACTATTAAAACATTTGTACTTCAGTTGAAGTTTAGTTTCTTATATCAATGTGTCTGGCTTTTAGGTGAAAATTATACCAACATTTTTCTCATCAATTAGTGTGTATACTATTATTCCAATAACCCATATATTTCTGGAAGCAAACTTAAGAATTTATTTTTGTAGTAAATGTAATAACTTAACTTAGATTTAATAACTTATGTGGTTCTTTTGTACAGTATGAGTAATTCAAAGTTATATTGATTTCATTCATTTAAATTTAGCTTGTGGGGGAATTGAAAAACCTTTTATGAATGAAGTGATATCTTTTAATTGGTTGACAAAGAATCAAGTTGTCATGGTTTGGTCTTCGCTATTCATCGTGTATAAAATGACGGAGCTGATTTATTTACTTAATAAAAAAATCAATAAAACAATATTCAATCATTTTACTATGAAATGCAAGTGATACATTAGGTCTTAAGGTCAGATGGGTCGCGTCTGAGTGCTTGACATTTTATTTGGCTGTGGATTGAAAATGTTGCAGAACGGAGCCGTAAGCCACCCAAGGGAGAAATAAAATATTGCATTACGAAGTATCAAAAACCATAGAAACACTACAATTAAAATGGTGGCGTTATAAATAAAATCAAAATTGTTAAAACATAGAGTAGAAGATACACAACGATTTGTCTTTAAAATGCAACTAAACATGTGTATGTTAGTGAACATAAAAATAGATTTAGTCAGAGAAAAATTATCAGCATAAGCCAGTTGATTAATTAGCATGAGAAACTAAAGTAATACTAGAAGATAATCCATTATTAAAAATAAAATAACACTTTAAACAAATATGAACAAAGGACATAAGAAACGGAATCATTACCTTAATAATTAGCTAACTATGGAGTGCTTCGACGAAAATTTAGGAATGCTGATTACAGTCTTCAGGAACTTATTTATTAAATACTATCGATTGTTAAATTATATTTGCAGTTAAACCTTTTGTGTCAGCTGAAGAATTTGTTGCTTATAAAGAGCAAGTGAAGATATTTGAGGAAGGAATTGGGAAAACACTTCACAACAAACTATCAGAGAAGGCCAAACATTCCAAAAATTGGGTAAGAATTAAACTGTTTGTAATAAAATCGACCCTAATAAAAAAATAATGAAGGTACCAGTTCATTGAACTTACTGTTAAAAATTTAGAAGTGCTGTACATTTATAATTTTGTTTCAAGTTTCTTGTGCATTTCAATATTCTGTTGAATAAATAATTAATAATAATTTTATATAACTATGATCAGATTTTTTAGTCTTAAGATTTTTATTGTCTTATGTAAATGATTGACTGCTCTATGGCTTACCACAAATACCAAAAATATGAGTACAGCTGTGGTGCTGGCTAAGATGCTCAACTGTCCATCACAAAGTAACAGTAGTAATAATAATAATGTTAGATTTCTACATTACAAATCCCAGAGCTTCTATGCAATTAATGGATTTAATCTCAGGAAAATATATAGGAATTACTTTTGAACATTAAATACAACTCCACCAGTGGCATATCTAGGGATGTTGCCATAAGAAAATTGTGGGGTGCAAATATTTGTTGGAGTGGCTCAAAGATATGAACTTGAGCATTTTTGTTTCTTTTTTTGGCTAAGTAGATTTACAGTGGGGCAGAGGCCGGGGAAACAGTGTGTTTTTGAAGCGTGTACAACTAAAATATTTGAGTTTTTCTACAGGTTAGTGAGTGGTGGAACGAGAAGGCCTATCTGGAGGTAAGGTCTCCTACAGCTATTTTAGGCAACATGATTGGTCCTGGTCCTTCCATACAGGATATTTGGCCACCAGAGATTGGAACTCAGCTGTCAAGAGCTGCCATATATCTCTACCATGGACTCTTATACTGGAATATGATCAGAAGGTTAGATGTTAAGTAGTAATTAACATTAATTAATTAATTAATATGTATTTCAATTATATATTAAATATAAAATACAATTTACAAATGTATAATATATAATCATAGGAAATTGTTTAATATTTAATTATGTACTGTATTCAGAATGTCGTGACACCACTAAGCTAAACTGGAATATGATCAGAAGGTTAGATGTTAAGTAATAATTAACATTAATTAATTAATTAATTAATTATTATTTATTTCGATTATATATTAAAATATAAAATACAATTTACAAATGTATAATATATAATCATAGGAAATTGTTTGATATTTAATTATGTACTGTATTCAGAATGTCGTGACACCACTAATACAAAATTGTTTTTTTTTTTTTTTTGTTTCATTTTAACTTCGTGGTTCCCTTGTGTCTTGAGTCTGCATGGCATAGGCTTAGCCAGCAAGCCGTCCGGCCGTCTTTTGGATGGCTTACAATTATTTAGGACAGCCACTTTTACCGTGACGGCTTGGCCTTATCAGCTAGGCCTAGCCTAATTGGGCCTGGTCTACCTTTAGCAAATTTTTTATATATTCTTCAATTCTATTGAATGTTACATTAAACTAAGCTAAAACATATTTACGTTTGATAAAAGCAACATTTATTGATTGAATGTACGTTGTTTTCGTACCAATAATCGGCTGGATTCCTAACGATGGGCATGGCCCACCCATCTACTCAGTGCCATGCCCACTGGCTTTCATTTTGGACGGCCTATTTTGTTTTTGTGGCTAAACCCCTGCTCCATGGTTTCTATTCTGTTATTTGTGGTTCACATAATGTTAGATTTTCTTACAAGGTAACAAGTCCTTCTCTATTTTTCTTTCCTTTGGTGTTAATAGTTATATTAATAATAATGACAATTGCATTACCAACATTCAATCCTATCGATAACAAAAATTTTTGTTTCAGAGAAAGAATATCCCCTGATGTAAGCCATGCTAAAGGGAATATGAAACAGTCCATGAGCCAGCTTCGTAGCATATTCAATTGTGGTCGTATTCCAGGTATCAAACGTGATAAGATAATAAGGTCTTTCAAAACAGGTAAATATGTAATTTTATTAATTTCAAACTGCTAGTCATAATATTTGGTTTGCAGTAGTGGAATTTAGACAAGACATTTTAAACTGAAGCCCTTGACTTGCAGACAATATGCAAGTTGTAGCAATGCAAGTGAGTCTTGCAGCAAAGAACAAAAAAAGTGATATTGCAAACTGTCATTTTGTACTGCACGTAGTAATGTTTATTTTGCAGTTTAAATGATGTTGATAAATGAGGCTTGCCATCCCAAACCAGTGTACTGTCACTAATTGACATGTCGACAAGGACGCGAAGCCCCGCCCACAAAGTCACGAAAACCTTAGACAATGGAGGCTAGACTTACCAAGTTGGCGAAGATTTTCTTTGCTATCAACCTTCTTTAAGAAAGAGAATTCAGGGTAGGCGGTATGCAAATGAATCATATATTCATAGTGTTAATCTATTTCACGGAATGGCGGGGAAATTTTTGTAAAAGCCTCTGTATTTCGCTCCCAAAGGAAGAGGGAAAAGCTGCATTCAGTCAACCTTGTTGTCGGCAATGACCAAGTCACTGATGCACACTGCTCGCGTAAATCTGGGTATCTATAACCAAGCATAGACGTCTAGGCCTAGGCTAGGCTCACGTATGTTTCGCGTTTAAACCAGCTGTCTAAGGAAATTAAAATGTCAGAGAAAAAAATTTTTGATCATGTGACTAAATGACGCTCACTGATTACTCGGTTAATCTGTCAATCAAATCTCGTCGAGATGCTAATTGTTAATCTGAGTAATGAGCATATGAAGCTGTAATACTTTGACTCATAACTTTGGCAATAATTCCAGATGACCTATCATTTTAATGCTTATAACATGGAGAATATGACTATATTAAAGTCAATTTCCATGTTTTTGACACTGATGCTGATTTTGGCACCCCAATTAACTTAATAAATATTAGCTGAGATATTACTTTTCAAACATTGGGCATGAAAACAAGATTTTTAAGGAATACAGCTTCTGAAAGTAGCCACTGGTTGATTAACACTACAGGGATATAAAATTGTGTGTTGTCAAATTAAACCTTGAACAAATCTTATATTGAATTGTTTACACATCAGTATTGACCTTCAACACTATTGTGTGGATTGGAATTCATGGTATGACTTTGTATTACAGTATTATTGTTGGCCAATAGTATAATAACTATATAAATGTAGATACATGTTATGCTGGTATACACTTTGCATCTGAAATGAGAGATGGTACATTATTGTATAAATAAACAAATAAAAACATGACAACTATTATTGTAGATTATAATGGTATGACTTTGTATTACATTATTATTATTATTGGTTTATACAGTGGGTAGGTGATTTAATCAGTGGTGTATCCAGGGTGGGGCGTTGTGGGCGCTTTTCCCCCCCCAGTTTTTAAATGTTCAAAAATCTGTATCTCTTCACCGTTCTCCAGTTCTTCGTCAAACAACTTTCTTCTGTCTTAAGAAAGTCAGATCTACAACATATCAAAAAATTTCCAGTTAAATACACTCCATGATATAGATTGATGTTACAGTGACCTTATTTATTGTTTAATAGTACAAGTTTACAAAATTTACAGCAATCATTTTGAAAAGAAGTCCCCTTTTTCTTTTATAAAAGTAGTCTCGAAATGAAGCCAATCTTGAAATGCCCATGCAAAGTAAAGCCCATGAAGCCCATGCAAAGTTTGCAAAAAAAAAGAAGCCCTAACTTCAATTCAAGATTTTATGGTAATTAGCAGTTTTGTATTCAAATAAAATTTGATTTATGAAAGTAGTAATGAATAATTGTAATGTGTTCATTTTGTTCATTTCAGAAACTGAGGGTATGTGCCATTCCCACGTGATTGTTACATGTAATGGCCACATCTACAAGATGTACCCACTCGATAAACACTATAATGTGTTATCTTCACATGAAATATATAGGTAAGTCATCAACAGCTCCATAACCACTTCTGATCCACTTCTTAAAATCCAGCAGTCCTTCAATTGCTACCCAACTTTAGAATGCTCTGCCTGACTGATTCTCTCAGATCTTGTGATTTGCTTAGGCAATTGAAAGGCCATCTAACAACACACCTTTTTCAATAGTTCCTCTCTCCTTGCTTGATCATATTTGTTTATTGTTTTGTTTGTTTTCTTATTTTTCTACTGCTTTTTTTGCATTAGTTAAGTTAGCACATTTTGCTTGGGTTTGGTTTTTTGCAAGCTTTATTCGGGGGGATGTTTTTCACTTATTGTGGAGAGTCGCTTACAACGCTTCATAAATGAAAAGAAAGGTGCTATACAAGTAACAAGTCCTCACTTGTGCAGGATTTGTTTTTTCAATCATTAAGAAACTGTAAGAAAATATGAGATGAGAAGCAATGCTACCATCTTAGTTACCCTTTAAATCCATTATTAGTACAGTAATCTTTGTACTGGTATGCATTGTACCTGGTGAGTGTTTTTATCTTCCACCAAGCTTGATACAAATTATGATTTTGGGATCTTTAGTCCTCTAAATGTGGCGTGTCTAGAAGACTTAAAATAGGGGAGATGATGGGGGTGCAAAAGGTGGAGTGGGGCATTTTTTTTTTGGCTTCTGACATATTTAATGGTTGGGTGGGGGTGGGGTTGCGCAGCCCCTGCTTTTCCCTACTGTAGATATGCCATTTTTTTTTTGTTGTCAAAATTTGTTTAAATTTTTGGCAGGATTGAACCAAGGCCTTGGGATTGGAAGGCTTGCATTCTAAGTGCCTAATACCACAGCTCCAATTTATTCACTCATAGTATAGGAACCTGCCATAAGTTTAGTTTTAAACCTGGTGCACATAATCCCAAATAATTATTAAACTTATTCTATCCAAAATAAATTTGTGGTAGCTACTGTGTGTGCAGCGAACTATGATATTGTTCCAGTTAGGTTTGCTATTTATTTATATATTATTTATTTATTATTTATTATTATTATTATTATTATTATTATTATTATTATTATTATTATTAATAGGTAAGTCATCAACAGCTCCATAACCACTTCTGATCCACTTGTTAAAATCCAGCAGTCCTTCAATTGCTACCCAACTTTAGAATGCTCTGCCTGATTCTCTCAGATCTTGTGATTCGCTTTGGCAATTCAAAGGCCATCTAACAACACACATTTTTCAATAGTTCCTCTCTCCTTGCTTGATCGTATTTGTTTATAGTTTTGTTTGTTTTCTTATTTTTCTACTGCTTTATTGCATTAGTTAAGTTAGCACATTTTGCTTGGGTTTGGTTCTATGCAAGCTTTACTCGGGGGGATGTTTTTCACTTATTGTGGAGAGTCGCTTACAACGCTTCATAACTGAAAAGAAAGGAGCTATACAAGTAACAAGTAACAAGTCCTCACTTGTACAGGATTTGTTTTTTCAATCATTAAGAAAATGTAAGAAAATATGAGATGAGAAGCAATGCTACCATCTTAGTTACCCTTTAAATCCATTATTAGTACAGTAATCTTTGTACTGGTATGCATTGTACCTGGTGAGTGTTTTTATCTTCCACCAAGCTTGATACAAATTATGATTTTGGGATCTTTAGTCCTCTAAATGTGGCGTGTCTAGAAGACTTAAAATAGGGGAGATGATGGGGGTGCAAAAGGTGGAGTGGGGCATTTTTTTTTTGGCTTCTGACATATTTAATGGTTGGGTGGGGGTGGGGTTGCGCAGCCCCTGCTTTTCCCTACTGTAGATATGCCATTTTTTTTTTGTTGTCAAAATTTGTTTAAATTTTTGGCAGGATTGAACCAAGGCCTTGGGATTGGAAGGCTTGCATTCTAAGTGCCTAATACCACAGCTCCAATTTATTCACTCATAGTATAGGAACCTGCCATAAGTTTAGTTTTAAACCTGGTGCACATAATCCCAAATAATTATTAAACTTATTCTATCCAAAATAAATTTGTGGTAGCTACTGTGTGTGCAGCGAACTATGATATTGTTCCAGTTAGGTTTGCTATTTATTTATATATTATTTATTTATTATTTATTATTATTATTATTATTATTATTATTATTATTATTATTATTATTATTATTATTATTATTATTTATTCATTATTCACACCAAATAAACCATATACAACTCAGGTAAATTTAAACATATCCCAGTAATAATATAATAAAATGTAACCTATAAAATTTTAATTGATAATACCTTAGTGATTATTTTCTATATTTGTGTCACATTCATCCAATATTTTTTCCTTCTGTATTGTAGACAACTTACTTACATTAAAGAGAAGAGTCTAGAACGAGGTCAAGGCATCAGTTCATTAACAGCTGGTGATAGAACACCATATGCAAAGGTTTTTCTTCTTTTTTTTCTTTTTTTATAGTAGTCAGCTGTTAAGACTATATTTAGCAATTATTATTTTTTTTGCAAGAGCAATTGACATTGAAGTACAATTTGATATGAGAGTGCAAATTCTGGACCTAATTAGTTTTGTATTGGTTTTTCTTGTATTAATCACTTTGATAGCAAGTTGTTTAGTTTCATAATGTAGTTATGGAAATGTTGGCTGTACGTATTATGAACTGTAATTAATTATGAATTAATTTATATATGTTTTTTTATGAACAAATGACAATATACATTGTACATTTCCACAGTTAATAAAAATTATTATGTTGGAAAATTACCTAAATGACAATGTACATAATGAATAAATGAAATATTCTACTCCTCAACACCATTTGAAAGGACTGAACTTTCCCAGATGCACTGGATATTACAGATTTTTGTATTTGTCATAAATGGATCTGTGCTTTAAAAACTTGCAATGAGAATTGTCACTTCACTATGCTGGTTTTATTTTGTTGTGTTTCTTTCCAATAAGTTTTACGTGTCCTTTTTAGTCATATCAGCATTTGGTTGCGCTAGATCATGCAAATGAGCAGCATGTTGAGGACATTCTTTCAAGTATCTTGGTGTTGGTACTGGATAATGGCAGTCCTCAAAACATGTCTCAGGTTTGTAATACAGTATCATCAAACAGTCTTTCATAGAAACAATGGAGTACCTAAGTATCTTGAAATGGAGATGGGGGTACATAGGTGAAGTGGGGAGGCTCGATGGTGAAGTAACGGGGTGCTAGCTCGCAAAGTAGAGTGATTTGCGGTGATTTTTGAGTATTGGAGCATGATATTTTTTCTTCAAACATTTTAATTGGGTGGGGGTGGAGAACTGGGGGAGGTGCAAGTATTTTTAGGGGGAGTGCTCCTTTACCTGCACACCCCGTAGGTATGTCACTGCATAGAAAATGCTCTGGTGGAAAGTGTATTGGGTTTTTTTCCTGTAAATTCTTTATCTTGGAAAAATTTCATTTAGATTCAGAATTGTATAGATGACAAATTACTCAGAACGTTTTGATCCCTATCAGAGACTTTTATCAAATGATGGCTAGGTGTATTGTAGCTTGGTCATGACGTCACTGTTGACGTCGTACGCATCCTCCGGACCTAGCTATTAGTTGATAAAGATCTCTGGTACTGTTTAAAACATTCTGAGTAAGTACTGTGTTTCCATTATAGATTTACAAAAATGAAAATTTTTCAGCCACGCTTCCCAACTATGGTTCACCACCCAAAAATGGGTCGCCAAATTTTTGCGTTGGGTCGCGAGCAGGTTTCCAAACAACAATTCATTTATCTGCTCATTTTGACAGTTGATGTGAAGTTTAACAGGTTTGACGATGTGAAAAAAATATTTTTAGGTAAATCCTCATTAGAACAATATTTATTATGTACCCACAATTAATATTCTGAAATCTATATGTCTGTTGCCATTTACCACAACATAATTGTGTAAGTCTAGCTTTCAACTGTTTAAAAACAATTTATAGAAATAAATTTAAACCAGAAAATTACTGTCAGGTAATATAAAAATAACATTATAAAAATAAATTCCAATACACCAGAATATAATATACCAGAAAGCCCCTGTGATGCATTTTGGTTGATAAGATTATAGAGTAGTCAGTGGCGTATGTAGGAGGGGTGCTCGGGGTGACTGAGCACCCTCCATGAGAGGTTGAAAAAAGTGCCCCTTTTTAAATGTTATAAAAGAACTGACATAAATTTAAGTATTAAAGTGCTGTTTCCGGTGTCTAGAAGCCGCCAATTCCATAACTTTCCTCACCTTAGCTTCAACCAGGATGTGGCTCAGGTGTATATAATAATTTTCGTAGATTTTTGTATTAAAGTGCCAATTTCCTGCATCTTGAAATTTCCTGACCTAAGCCCCAACCATGGCGGGGCTCAGGTTGATAAAGTAGGAATTGTAAGTATTTAAGTCCCATTTCCGGGCATCCAGAGGTACAAAATACTGAAATTTTCGCATGTCACCGCCAACCAAGGTGGTGCTGACATGGTCTCTTATTCCATTCAGCAGCCCCTTCTTTAAATCCTGGATATGCCATTGGTAACCACATTCATTAAATATATAATTCAAAGGTGGAAAATACCTTCTGCAAAAAGATCGATTAAATTTTCCTTTCAAATATTAAAAGTTGTCTCATTTTCCGGCTCTTCCTCTTCCCACCCCTCCCCCCCCCCAATAATCATAACATTTCTTACCTCAGCCCCCAACATGGTGGGGCCAATGGATGTACCCACTATTTGTGAAAATCCCTCTTTCTGCACCCCTCTATTACGAATTCCTGTATCCACCACTGTTTTCTCAAAAAGACGATCATTAGTAAACAAAAAACGTTGTAATACTAACATCTTAAATTACATAAAGCATCACATTTTTGAGATCTTATAAAAGTCAATGTGCAATTTACAATCACATTGAACGTTAAATGGGTCGCGGCTTGTCTGGAAAATCACAAATTGGGTCCCAGAGAAAAAAGTTTGGGAAGCAGGGATCTACAGTATATATTCTTTATGTTCTTAAACATTTTCATGGTTACAGTGAAAAGAAAGTCAGGTTTAATAGTCTCAAATGTTGTACAATGCAAGGCATAAGGGTCCCAAGTAAGCTTTTTAGGACATCTAATCTGGGTTTGGTATGCAGTGATACCATCACCAAATAACTTCAGGGAGACAATAAATAATACAATAGTAAAACTTGCAAATATCATAATTCTGCAATAGATGGGTTAGTTTCTCTGGGATATTTGCTTTCTCGCTGGAGCGCATGAGGTCATATTGATTTTTGTGAAAAATTGTTTAATAAAGTTATGTAGCTTGTTTCTATGATAAGAAAGTATAATACATACTCCAACTATTGAAATACATGCCATCGTGTTGGGATTCAATATTTCGACATTAATTATGTCATCATCAGGATCCTGATGATGACATAATTAATGTCGAAATATTGAATCCCAACACGATGGCGTGTATTTCAATACTTGGAGTATGTATTATACTTTCTTATCTGAGATTAATCAGTGGACCTTTCGGTTTTTGTTTCTATGAAGACGAAGAGTTTTATACAGTACATGTTTGATCCTTGAGAAGACCTTTGTTTGTATTATTTTTATTTCTAACTGTACAATTCTTTGTCAATTGGAAAATAATTTATTTTGAATAATTTTTTTTAGACGTATGAAGCTGCGTTCAGTGGACCCCAGCCTTGGAACAGGTGGTCTGACAAGGCGTTTTCTTTAATTGTGTTTGAAAATGGTGTGATTTCTTGTAACTGTGATGTAAGTAAGACTCTGATATTAATCCATGTTTTACTGAAAAAGAAATTAAAATACACATTCAAAAGAATACAATACAAGGAAAAACAAAAATAGATATTGTTGCAAAATTCCCATAAAGATTTTAAGAAAAATGTATTACATTACAAAATAATATTTAATTAATTTATTTACATAAATTTCAATTAGAATTATATTAAAGTAATATCAGTTATTTAAAAAATATAAAAAAGTAAACAAAAAGGCTTAAGAAAAAAGATAAAAATTGTATTATATTTATAATAATTCAAATATATACTATTAAAAAATATGGTGGTTTGGCACAGCAGGAATGGTTTGGTTTTCCCAACCTCGAGGTCAGGGTTTGAATCCCTCGCTGTTCATTTTACATGTGCCCTTGGGCAAGGCACTTTAACTGCATTGCTTTTTTTCCACCCTGGAGTGTAAGTGGGTACCTGGTAGTGTTAAATGCCGAAATGTGCTAATGTAGCTGCTGCAACGTTATGGAATACTCCCCCAGGGAGCTTGAGTTTGTGTTCCATACATAGAGATATAATAAGAATACTAGAGCGCTAACCGCAATGTATTCGATGTTCGAAATACGCAGAACTGTGTGTGTACCATCCAAGATGGCTGCTATAGATTTAGCCAATCAAATTTCGCTAAGCACCATCGTTTGCAATTGTGCCCCCAATTTACTCAGAAAGTTCAGTACAGCTAGCTACCCATATGTTTGAAACTCGAGCGTTGCAGTGTAATGTACACGATTTTAATTTTCATTCCTTGGTACTTTATTTTTGAATAAGATGCTCTACTTGGCCTCGTTTTGGCTACAATAGTTTAATCATTTGTTATTACCATTACTCATTATCATTAATGAAATAATAGTCAGTCAGAGGGCTTATTAATATGTAATAATATGTACACTAAGCCTGAAGGTGGCGCTTTACTACGACGGCCATCTTGGATGGTACACATACATAACTCTGCATTGCTGCGCCATCTTGTCAGCACTCTAGTTGTTTAATAGCTCTATGGTTCCATAGGGGTTTAATCCAGTGACCGGGGTAATGACAATGTGAAGTGCATAGAGGGCTTTGCGCAATATAAGACTCTACCATTATTAGTATTACTGTTACAAATTAGTTTTGTTTTTGTAGCATGCGGCATATGATGGCATGGTGATGGTTCGGTTGAGTTCTTACATACACCAACAACTTCTAAGTACTGCAGGAGATTGGCAGGTACACCATTCAAGTTTTGTGTTTCAAATTTTAAATTATGTTTATACAGTATTTGCATGGATTTGCTACCTAATTCATTTTCCAAATAGACTTGTTTAATATACTATTTGTTTAATAGTAAATTAACTCAGATTGGTACTTATGCAATGTGCTGATAACGTGTGTGTTCAGTGTATGTTTCCACAGTCATGATAGTACGACTGCCAGTGTTTCACAACTACATGCCATGTCTTTGCATCTAAAGCTAAAGTATATCGTGAACCATTTCACATCATATCAGCAGCACAAGTTAGGGTCTCTGAACCTGGCCACATCTGACAAACACAAAACAACTCAACTCAAGTTGTTTTTTTTTTTGTTTTTTTTCGTCTTAAAGGGGGTTGCAGCTGTAGATCCAAATACACTAATGCCAAGGGAGTTGGTATTTATAACTGATGACATCATTGCAAAGGCCATTGAGGAAGCAGAAAACACCTACTTCATCAATGTATGTATATACAGTACTTGTTTTTTTTCTTTCATTATGATTTAATTTATTACAATAGGGTTTAAATTATTAATTTATTACAGAAATTTAATTTATATTTTATATTTTCAAATATCCAAAAAACTAAATACATATGATTATTTATTTTCGAATTTGATTCCTGCCTGAAAATTGTATCTTGTTGTATGCTCTTGTAGGCTAATAGTAAAACAAATTTGTATTTTACTGCTGTTATTGCTTGGATCCCTTCATAAGCCACTTAGTAGTTTTAACTGCGCATGCCCATATTGAAGCTCCATCGACATAAACAAACACTCAGAATTTTCTATGGCGCTATTTTCTAACAGTTCTTCTTTTCGATAAATGTTCTCCATATGATGGAAGTATTACATAAACTATGTATCACAGATTACTATTTTCAGACAATTCCGAAGGCTGCTTCAACTTTAAAGCCTAGTTAGGCCTAGCATACGCTTTGTGTGTTAAATATTTGTTTATGTTGAGCGTTTTTATGCTATTTAAAAAAAAGTTGTAGTGTAACTACTGTTGATTATAGTTTGCGGTAGTATAGCTTTGTTAAAAAAGTTTATATGAACGGTATTCGCATTTTGATTACGAATTCTCTTAATTTTTTTTAGTTTTAGGGTATAATTGGCCTATACATCATATGTTTTACAAACATTTTTATGATGCATGGGATAGTATGCATGAAACATAAAAAGTGAATGCTCATGCGTGAGACTCGCGCATTATGCAGTTTGGCCGGTGTAGTATTATACTCAATTATGTGAATAGTAAGGGGTCATCCATTATTTTCATCATTTTCACGAACGTACAAAACGTACGCTGGGGGGAGGGGGTTGAAGGCATGTGTACGCTTTTAAAAAAGTACAAAAATGACGATTTGGAAAAGTTGGCCTACGTTTTTGTGCCTAGGCATTTCCCTAGAAAGCCAAAGTTTACCGTTATAAATTCACTGGTAAATGTTCAGTTTATAAACTGTTTATACACAGCGTCATCTTACATCCCTAATTAACAATGAGTTGATAAGCATTGTGTACTTATAAAACAATTTCAATTACAAGGGAAATGCACTCTAGCTCCGTAAATTTGAATAAACTGTAAGCCAGCAGCCGACAAAACCATAAAGCCTGACACTGACAGTAGGGTAGCTGCATTGGGACCATGTGTTTCACTGTGCTAAGCCTACCTTATTTCTTCTCCCTTCTTCTACAGTCTACTTCACTAGGTCAAATTCCTACATTTTAAATTCAATGGGCCTACATCACTTATTCAATTTAACATTTTAACACACAATTTATTATTTGTATTCCATGGATACGCATGATGGCATAAATTTTACGTGTTATCTATTACTAAATACAACACCAGCAAGATTCAAGCCTAAGATCTAGAGGCAGTGTGAAGTTGGCCCTCATCCAAAAAAAAACAACAAATCACGCACCACTAATCTAGGTGAAAGGTTAAACATGTTCTTTACTTCTTGCTCGTCAATTCTTAAACTTGTTTTCTAATTCCTCTGATGTCTATGTGGTGATAAATTTAAACAACATGAAATGTTTATTAATTATTGTTTTTATTTTTTAATGAATTATTATTAACATGATAGACCTATATGCAAGTTTGCTATGTCAAAAATGGAACCTACCACTAGTTTGGCTATGTGGTTATTGGGTCAGGATTGAGCTCATGTTTTTTGATTGGCAAATTATTCGTGGCACCGTGTGTCGGTCTGTTGTCATGGTAACCAAACTAAGCAATCAGTTATTCTTTAGTTCTGATATTTTACAAGCTGCTGGTAGCAGAGTAATTATTGTTTGTAATGATTATTTCAATTTAAGGATAGTGTTACCTGTCGGGATATATTTTATATATTATATATTATCGTGAAAATAATGAATGACCCCTAAGTGCAAAATATATTAATTTTACTCACAGGCAAAAAAAGTTGAGTTGTTGTGCAGTAGCTTCATACTTTATGGAAAAAAATGGCTGAAGCAGAAGAACCTTCACCCGGATACTTGCTGCCAACTGGCCATCCAGCTTGCCTACTACTTAATGTATTCCAAGTTAGTGATCATTTAATTTATCAAACTTATATGCATTAGTTTATATCCAGTGGTTAAAAATGTCTACTGCTCTACTGTTTTTTGGGTACTTTTTATGTGGATACTCGATTATTGTAAAATTTCTGATAGAAACTCTTGGTCAGTATTATTAAGCATAAGCACACATTAACCCTGGTATTCTAAAAACGAACTTTAGTCGTAGTTCGAGCTAAAAATTACGTCATTTCATATTCTTAAAACGAACTTTGACTAGCACTACGACTAAATCACACGAACATTGACTAAAATTATACCACCTTAGTCCGATTTTTTTAGTCAGCATGGGTCAGGCTAAATCGCCGACTTGAAATATTTACACCACTAAAAACATGCTCTTTGTAACTTACGATATTAAGTGAAGTGAATATAAACAATTGTATAAATAGGTCTGATGTATTTCCAGTGTGTTCAAGAAAAGGGACATTATGTTTAGCTTCCAAAGGGCGAAATTAAAATGTTTTGCTAGCCACATGCAGCATTTCCTGATTTGCAAGAAATCCTCTAGGTCACGTAGCTTCGCACCGTAACAACGACAAAGATGGCGCCACCCTCGCTCAAACTATAATAGTTCTCCAAAGAAAGCAAATCTTCAATGACAGTTCATATCTATATCTTTAGATGTCAACGACTAATATAGTTATTATTATAAAATATTAGATGAATAATGGTCTATTATGAATTATGAGGAAATATGTTTTTGAAAGACAGATGGCAGATTATTATTCATCCACGTTACTGGATCTCTACAATTTCGTCTGCTATTAAATTAGCTCTTTTCATTGGTTAGTTTGATAGTTGTTGCTTGCCAGCCGTCTTCAGCTGAACTAAAACTAGGACTTGATTTGTGAATACAAATTGAAGTTGAAGTTAAGACTAAATGAAGTTCTAGTTCGAAGTTTGACTAAAGTTCGTTTTAAGAATACAGGCGTAAGCTTTGATAAACAACCCATCCATCCACGGATTCTGTGTTGGCAATTGGCATGGATAACTGTACAAGTAAAAGAGCGTAGCTTATTATGATGCAATGGTATTCCATAATTCCTATTTTTGAACTTTGATCTCTATGGCCAAATTTACTCTCACAACTTATAAGTGAGACATTAACTAAGTTTCTACAGGCTGTAGACACAAAACAACACCCAAAGGTTCAATAAATAGATAAAACCTAGATATTATAGTTGAAGCTACATCTGCAAAATATTTCAAGTCATTTGTTTAAATTTATTGAGTAGAGTTGTGTAGCTTAGAGGTTAATGTACTTGGTTTTTAATCAAAGTGTACAGAGACCTTTACAATGACAGTATATAAGGATATTTAGTAACATATTTTGTGCTTCCTTCATAAAACATTAATTAATTATTCGTTCACAGACCAGCACCATGCTATGAGACTGCGACCACCAGGCAGTACTATAATGGTAGGACTGAAACTGTAAGGTCAACAACACCAGAAGCTGTTGAATGGTGTAAAGCAATGGTGGATCCAAAAATCTCAGTAAGTACTGACAGTAGATATCAGGTGGATATTACCTCTTTCTGCTCATTGGCAATTGGAAGAATTCATTTTCTAAGGCCTAGGGAGTGGAATTGTTTTAGTTGTGAGAGTTTGTGATTAAGAGCTCCTTACCACCATACTAAGCTCCATTCCTTCTAGCTTGGCTACACATTTTTTCTTTAGGAGGGGCTGCAAAGTACACCTGCTGCTGGGTATGGGTTGGGGTCATGGCTGCAGATTATGGGGGTGGGGAGGACACGTCCCTTCCACATTTTTAAGGGAGGTTGGTCCCCTTCACTTTTCGACTGCAATACAATTCCATAGTTCGGAAGATGCTTGAAAATTGTTGAATTGAACTGTATAAATGACCCAGATATTAAGGAAAGGGGTCCTGCAGCAGTTCTATAATAATAAGTTTTTTTTTTATTTTGGCAAAGCATACCAAAGTGGCCAAAATATAAAAAAAAACAAACTTATTAATGCATACATTTTGTTTATAAAACATTAAATATGATTGATAATAGATTGGAGAACGGCAGACATTATTTCAAGTGGCGTACAATAAACACAACACATTGATGAATGAAGCCATGGATGCCCATGGTTGTGATCGCCATATATTTGGACTTATTTGCATTGCTGAAGAAATGGGCTTACCAACCCCTGACATTTTCTTACATGAAGCATACACCAAAAGGTAAAGTATATTTAACTAATTTGTTGGAAAGATAAATATCTTGAGTAAAATGCAGAAAAAAGTCAAAATTGAAATTACCCATTTCAGAATAAGTTCCTAATTTGATGTGACAAATCAAAAAGATTTCATTTATTTACAAACTGTAACTTTAAGGGACTGTGCAAAGAACATTAGTTGTTCAGATGGCTTACCATCTGAAGTAAATTTACAACAGATGTAACATTATGTGTTACATCCGAGTGTCCACACGATGCATACCCAGGGCATAATGTTCTTTTTACTTCAAAAGCTAGTTCAAAGCTTAGAAGTAACTATGACAATTCACCGGAAGTAATTTGCCACTTTCATTGTCTTTGAATGTTTATTTTGCACACAAATTCTTCAATTATGAAAAAATTGTGTCTACATATGGTTAACACATCACAGGAAATGTTATTTGTAGGTAATTATTTTTTTTAAAATTTGGCATCATATTAGAGGTCGTATTTACTTGCGAGCTCTGAAGTAAGTGCGTCTACACGGGGGTAATCTGAGCATGTATTACTTACATTCCTTGTATACGCAGAGGTAGTAACGTAACTACTGAGACTTCATAGATGTAAATCGTCTGCTGTACCTTTGAAGCAACCTTATACCAAGAGCGTCTCCATAGGAACTACCCAGGGCTTATGACAAGTAAACTGCTACTTCAAACTTGTCTATAGAAATGTTTTTTTGGTTTTTTTTTGCAATCCTTCCTTTAAATATTCTGTATTGTATATTTTTTTATTCCCAGGGCTAGAAATTAGCGGTCGTCCGGTCACCAGTGGCAACCTTTTTTGGTGTTGGGCGATAACAAATGTCTTGGGTATCACCCCGTCTGTGACCCTTACTATTTTGGATTGGGGAAAAAATAACCAACTAAAATACATTGTTTTTTTTCGTTTGAGCTCCATTTTTCGCCAATCCATAGCTATGCAAAGTTTATTTGTGTTGTATTGGTAGTCTAGCTGCAAACGTCATTGTGTGCTTCGCATTTGGTTATTCGTTATTTTAATGTGGTGGATGCAGGGCAGTGGGTGTATGACGACGACTACATGAAGGTGAATCACCTCATGTATGACGATAACATGAAGGTACTATATTTACGACAGCCAGCTAGCTGGTAGTGTACCCTTTGGGCGCAAACTGGCGACAAAGTGTACCTAAAGGCAGCTGACTTTATGTCATGATACATAATTATGCTGAAAATGCATAAAATACAGGTTTTCTGGAGACACTATTGTTCCACTAACTCCAAAAAGTAGGCTATTTTCCTTGCTTCACGATCTCCTTCCCCCCCCCCCCCCGATATCTTTCTAAACTAAAAGGACAGTACTTTATGCCTAGCCCTTTGTAATTTTTTCAACTTTTGTGTTATATTTAGAAAACTTTTGAATTACTGTACCTTGTTGGTGTGCTAAAAATATTAATTTGCCTATCAAATAACGTTATTTTGATTGCCAAACTCTATGTGGTCTAAAATCACATTTTTGGGCCATAAAAACTCTTGTGTCGATCGTGAACTAATACAATGGATTTTTTCTCGGACTAATGATTTTGGCTAAAGACAGATTCAATTGCCTAAATCAATTATTACACCGATGTCATCTTGTTGGTTTTATTGATTTTGTTTTTTTCGTAAAATTATATTTCGGACCGTAAAAAAAAATATAGGACCAGTATAACTTTGGAAGGGCCAGTATAATTTTTTCCTTACTGGCCCTGCTGGCCACTATGGTTTAGAGGTTAATTTTCAGCCCTGTATTCCTCTGCAAATGTTTTCTTTTATGGTGTGATATGTGCCTGGCTACAAATAGTAAAAGCATTAATAACATTATAAAATTGATGTTTCAGCGGCGGTGGTGGGAACTTTGTGTTGTCCACTAGTCTAATAGGCTATACCACTGTGCATGGAGGGGTGGCAGCTATGACCTATGATGGCTATGGCATCTTCTACAAGATTGCAGATGACCAGTAAGTTACATATTACTAACAGAAATTAAAACTGCTATTTTAAACGGAGCATATATTGTGCTTCCCGGAGAAGCATTTCATTATTTTAAAAACAATAACAAAATATAATGCATTTAAAAATACTTAATATTATTGGTTTTAACAGTAATATTGTTTATGAACTATGCATATGGATGGACGGCACTTTAGAGCCCTACGTTATTGTCATATGACTTTGTAAAAAAGGTTGTAAAAAGAGCACACTTTAAAATATAATTGATCTCAATGGCTAATTCATTATGAACTGGCAGACCCCTGTTTTCCTCACTCTGGTGCTCTTATAAATTATAATGGATTCATATTTTTTTACTATTTGCAATGTTATATTCATGGGCAAGTTCCTCAAAGTGGCACTTTAGATCCTAAAGTTATCATTATATTACTTGAAAACATACTAGAGTATAAGAAGCACAATTTAGTCAATGACTAATTCATAATGAAGTGGCATACCCCCCTCCCCCTGCCACCTCCTCCTTGGTGCTCTTACAAATTACATTGGGATCATACTTTGCTATTTGCAGTATTATTTTCTCTTGTCCTGGAGCCATGGTCTTGTTAACTGGTTATTGTTTTCTGTCTCAGCTTGCAGTTTCTTGTCACTTGTTTTACATCCTGTGAAGACACAAGCTGCTCACAGTTCTTCAGTGCCCTCAACAAAGCCTTAGTTCAAATCAAAGGTCTAATAGTCCCAGCAGTCAGCAAGCTCTAGATATTATTGTTAAGGATGAATGACGGACAATTAATCCAGTAGAATATTTGTCCTATAATGTGGATAATTCATCCCATAGTGTAGATGATTTTTGACTCATGTGCTGGATGGTTCATCCCATAAAGTAGCGTATTCATCTTAAGAGTGTGGATTTGTCTTGTAGATTAAATAATTTGCCACATGTGCTCGAAAATTTTCCCCTTCAGGTTATAATATCCAACCTGTTGTATCCAACTTAGCATGATCAAAGAGTATAAGTAGAACAATAGAGCCAACTACGCGATACGCCATATGCAGCCAGTTTATGACGCCTGCTACAAATGGATTCCCCAGTAATGTACCGCGCATGGTTTATTGGTATTTCGGTTTTCTTAGATGGTTACATACATAGTGGCCGGTTGATTTCCTTATTTTTCTTAATCTTCACAGTATTGCAGAGGGCGCAGTTTATGCGAACTCACACATAGCAGGCGCACTAACATATCGACGATGGCGACTTCCATCGTAACTAGAGAGTGACGTTTTTACAGAGCGCAGTTGGCTCTCTTCTACTTTTCTACTCTTTGGTATGATGTGGAGTTTACCCTAAGCAATTACAGTTGAACTTACCTAAGTCAAATCCAAAATCATAGAATTATTATTCGACTTTTTAAAGATAAAATTTGACTTACAGATTGTTAATTAATGGAAAACACAATTTGGCATGTAAAATAAGATCGACTTAGAAATTATTCGACTTCGAAATTATTCGACTTAGGAATGTTTAACTCTAGTATGTGTCATGATGATCATAGTACAGCACTAGTAGTTTTTTGCTTGTACAATAATTCAACACTGGCTGTGGATTATTCACGCCCATTCCAACATGAGCCAGAGGTCGTCTGGTGTCCTGTTTAGATCAATGCAAGAACTCTCCCTCACTTGCGTCTAATTGGTGAATTTCCATCATCTTTGTGATGGTTTTGATGCAAACAGGTTGGTTTGGTTTATCGTATGCAGGTTCCCTTGAAAAGAGCATTCAACCAAACAAACCATAGAAACCCCTAGTTACAGGCTTAGTAAAATGTATATGTTGTAAAAAACGGTTTGCCCTCAGAATTAATTTTTGATAGTAATGAAAACAATTTTAATACTGTTAACTTGTGCTAGATTAGTGTTAATAATTTTAAATATATACTATTTGAACAATGCAAAATGTAATCAATGTTAAAAGTTTGAATGAATACCATTAATTTAATAAGCAATTATTATAGTTGTATTCAACGGTTCTCAGGTGCTAATGGTTCCTTTTAAACTGTCAGAGCAGCACCAATAAGTAAATTTGGAGACGAATCCAAAAAATAGAAATAATGTATGGGACAGCAATTAAATTTGGTTCCTTTGTGCACTAATGTTTGCACAGAAAACTGCTAAACTAAGTGCTTTAAGGCTAATCTGCTTATAGGATATCGTCTGCTGTGCCAAGCATAAGATTGAAAGTGCAATGTTGATGCACTCAATAGAATTTTATTGGCGGTCGTGATGTTATGAGTGGCTTATATAAATAATGGATGACACGGGTTTTACTGTTTAAAAAAAAGATGTGTATGTAATGTGCCAATAAAGATAAGTGACATTATAAAAAAAATATTCAATTGAGAATGTCATTTGTTAGGTAAGTTAGACTCAATGAAAATAAAACAGAATTCATATTAGTGTTCATATTTATATTTATCAAATAAAAGCTTGCTGCTTACGAATTGGAATTTTAAAGCCAGAAATAATTTATAAAATAATACACAAAAACAATGTTCTGAAATAAAAGCAGAACTTAAAACTGTATAATAAATAAATCATTTGTTTAACAATACTGTTGCAGGAGTAAAAATTATGACGATACAACAATACCTATTATTGTCATAGTAACTGAGAGTACAACGTCCTGCACTCTGATCATTTTTAGGCAATGTCATACACATATACAGTACATTCAATAAAGAACCTACCTATGTCCCCAGTTTTACTCCTGTGTGGACACAAGCAAAATGGACAGCATAGAATTTTAATAAAATTCAGAGTTCACATTATCTATTGGTGATGTCCAAGGTTTTATGTACTTATTCTAACTCAGCTGCAAAAAATTCAACCCATCAGATTCTTTCTTAATGCCTACAGAACACACAAAAGTTATACCTAAACAGTACCATTTTCCTAATACTGTACTGTACTCTGTTTTAAGCTATTATCAGTTTTATATTGGCCCTGTTTACAGCATGTTTGATGGCCTAAGCCCCATTTCTAAAAAATCATTGTATCTAGTTTAATATAGCCCCACAACAAAAGGCTTTATTAGGGATAATTTTCCTTACTATAATGTAACCTTATGTATAAGATTAAAGGTAAGGCTGAGGAACATAGTGAAGCTAACTGCCATGCTTGTACGACCAGTCAATAAATTAAAAACTATTACAGTATTTAACAAAACCTGTTCTAGTAATAAAGATCTATATGCCTGTAGACAAATCTGGAAAACTATAGCAATGGACTTCTGAACTAGCCTCTGTCCCTTGGACATTGTTGCCAAATTCTCATAAAATGCCAGCATATACGTGTGCATATGTGGGACGATGCAGATGTGGGACATACATGTGTTTTTAGTATAAGTACATATTACACTCCTGTTCCCCGACTGGTCAGTAAGCTTGACAATCCGAAAAAGTCCATACAATTAAAACAGAATTGCTCATTTAAAAGAAGTTATAAACTTCCAAAGAGATGCAGGCTGAAAATATTAAATTTTTGCCAATTTACAGACTTTTAATTACAAAATTGCTTACACTGATTATCAGCCAAATTAAAAATTTAGTGATTTATGCAAATGATATAAAAAAAGGTATTAATGCTTAATACTTAAAATATACAACACAAACATTAACATTAACTTAGTTCATGGGTTTTTAAGGTTATTAAGAGCATCTTCAGGAATAAAACTGATATAATACTAGTTTACAAAGCTATTAAAATAATCTTATTATAGACACAAAAAATAAATATATTTGTAGAATATTTATTAACACATTTTCATAACATTTATAGTTTGTCACATGTTAAAAATTCTTCATCTTACAACATACAAAATATTAATGCCTGTTGGGTACCAAGCCACCCATGGGTTGTGGGAGTCCCTTTGAAATCGTCACTGTCTACAACTGGCCATGGATATTATTACCACTTGCACCAAATAAAGGATTTGTTAAGGAAGCTCATTAAACCAGATGGGTCCCCAACTGGCAATCCATGTAATGTAACCGTATAATGTACAGTATATTGAAATATATAGAATTTCATCAACATTCTAAATAATAAAATTCAGGTTACTGCATAGGCATTTTGGTATATGAAAATGAATAAAACACAAGATAATTGGCCTCAAAGTAAGTCTTACATTACACTAGCACAACAGGTTATCTTTTTTTTTTCTATTTTGAGGCATACATTTTTTGAATTGTAAACCTTACAACAGATGGATATGCAAGCAAAAAAGGACACACACACGCACATCCACACATGTATGCATACATACATATACGCACAAAGATCAAAGGCGAAAATACTGATAAAACAATGCTGTAAGAAACAATGGATGTTAGTTAAGATTCAACTCTGAGTGAAAAGGTCAAATTATAACCAACCCAGGTTGTTAGATTAATATAATACACATTTTGTTAAACCATGGAAACACTATAACCTCGGTGGTTTGTTTCATCATGGCAATAAAAGCATACTAACAAAATACAGTATGTGAAAAACAATGTTTTAGGACAGAATAGTTGAACATAATAAAAGATAAAAACACTCAGTAAAATAGTGCCAAAAATCTGTATATTATTAAGTTATCACCATAACATATTTTAAAAACAAGTTAAAATACAGGTTTGTATCTACCATCTGGTTAGTGCCTTTAAAAAATGTACTTTTAACCTTTTGTACAATACACTTTATTGTCTTAAAATTACTTGCCTGTTTATATTTTTCTCTTTTTGGCAGATACTTTGTCATTGGTAGAACATCTTGTGTATTCCACAGATTTAAGAACAATAAAACAGTGGCAGCTTAATTAATGAAAAGGTCTCCCCAATATGAAGGTCAGAGGGTAGGGACTAGGTTAGAAGCAGCCACCTGGTCTATCTGGCAAAGGCATGATGGTGGTGCAGTGAAAAAGTGATGGGCCTCTAGCTAGGGAAATGTGATATGAGATAATAGCTACAGTACCTAATTCAGTGTAATTCTTTCTATTGGGCATTAGCCTTCTAATTGTTCCACTTAGATAGACCTGCCTTCTGAGGACACAGATGGCGAATTTGTTAAAAAAAAACATTGATTACAGAAACCAAATGGCCTTACAACATAGAAAGTTGATGTGAGTGACTTAATTGTTTAAATTGGATGTGTGGGAAGAAACTAACAAATATGTTCTTTAAATTACATAAATTACTTTTTACTAGATTTACCGTATATTCTTGCGCATAAGGCAATCCGCATATAAGAGGACTCTTGAGCTTGAGAAGATTTTTGGACAATTTTTGCATGTTGGGTATTAAGATGACCCCCGTTTCATCGTTGGATTTCCTACTTCTCTGCTCTTTATTGTTTTGATACTGCATCTAGCTGGCTAAAAATGGAGTGAAATGTAGGGCTAATCTGCCAAATAATACAATTTTATGGGTTTTTAAATGTTCATCAAAACTATTATTTCCCTGCATTAAAAATTGCGTTCATTAACATACTACCCAGGGGTAGATTTGGGGGGGGGGGGCGCTGGCCTGGCCCCAGTTCTCCTTTTGGGAGGTAAGAAAAAGAAAAAAAATGATAGCCCAGAATACCTCAAATGTTATGTTCGTGTGTGTAGAACACAAACAATTTTGCGGGGCAGTGTTGTCTCGATCGGCCCAACTTTCGCCCCCCCCCCCCCCCCCCCCCCCTCCTCTCCCACCTTTTGGACATTCCTGGATCCGCCCCTGCTACCAGCTTCATTTCAGTAGCAAATTTGCTCGTAAAGGACAATCTGCACATAAGACGAACATGAAATATCAAAACTTTGTATGTGTTGCGCAATGTTTTTCGATCGTCATTTGCTTTTTTAAGCCTCGCCTTATAAGCGAGAATATACGGTGTATGCTTATTAGCATTCATTAACAAACTAAACTACTAACTCATGTTTTTCATCAGCTCATACAAATAATATATGTCTGTGTATACATACATATATATATATATATATATATATATACACATACATTTATATGTGCTGGCCAAGGGAATGAATGAACACATCCTACAACACAACATATACAATAACAATGGTAGGGAGTATAAACCCCTTTCCCACATGTTATATTGGACAAAAGAAAGGTCGATGAACTTGTGCTTTGTCTCGTTCTTGAATGTGAAAGTCCTGCTTTCGTACCACACACACAAGCAACCAGGCTGGTGGTGTTCTTTATATGACATTTTGAGACTTCATGCTAGGATATTTTTGCCCGTTTTCGGATGTGTTTTAACCTGCGTTGCAACTAGAATTTCTTTGGAGTATCGGTCCTGAGATGTATCAACAGTCAGATCACCAACTTTGCCATCTTCATATCTAAAAATAAACAAAAGGTTTAAGTTGTAAGTACATTTATGCAGGGGTGGGAAAGAGGGAGTGGGTATTGATGTGTAATATAATGTAATGATGCTAGATGCATTATTATTTTACGGTATTTATTTCCAGAAAAACACATCAAAATACAATTAAAACAGGTCAGCAAAAATGCTGAATTTAATTTTACAAGTAATAAAGGAAAAAAAGAACATCTAAATATTTAAAAAAAAAAAAACAATAAAAAACAGCATCATTATACACATCAAGTAAATCAGTAAAATTCTAATCATTTAACATTCTAATTTAATATGGAACTGGACTACAATGCATTAAAAGAGAAAAAGAAAAGAAAACCATAATATAAAAAGAAGCCTAAAGGCATGTGTGTGTATGTTGGCATGTATGTGGGAGGGTGTCTGGGAGGTGTAGGTGTGTCTTGGAACTGTCTCTTATACACATCTAGATGTGTATAAGAGACAGCACTTAGATAAAAAGAAACGTGTGCAAACATGATCTGGGTTCGTACACACCCAAATATTCCCATTCTTTTTCAGTTCCTTTGATTCAATTACTGAAAATGAGCAAAAACACACTTATGGATCTCAACATCCAAGGATTATTTATATTAATATAATATAACAGAGGAACGATTTTAGTCAAATCTTGAAAAAAAAATTCAATGCAAAACACACCATAAGCAGTGAAAATTTATTTGAAGAAAACTCATCAACATCTGATAATAATTCATTTTTTTTCTAATTTTCAATTGGAAGCAAATATATTTTTGTGCAACAAAGACAGTTTTAAATTATTTATTTTTACTATGTATTTTATGTATTGTATATAGAGAGAATTAAATAAATTCAATTCAATTCAATACCCTCTGTGTTTAAATTTTGGTAATCCAAAGCTTTTGAAGACTGATTATAAGTAAGCAAGATTCTTACCTTCACACAGAGCTATACATGTGAGATTCTTACTCTTCAAAAATCTACAGTCTGATTTCTTGTTTGTCTGCAAATAAATGTTAAAATTGTCAGAGTGATTTTAATTAACAAGTTGATAATTTACCTATCAAAGATTAAAGAAATTTCCTGTGGGTAAGGTCATTCCATTGATCTCAGTGATTTGCACTCAAACTCTGTGACTGAATTGAATTGGATTGGATTGGATTTATTTGGTGTAAACACCAAGGGTAGCCCACGAAGTCTAGAGGAAGACTTATTTCCAGTGGGGTCATTCTGGTGTTGATTGGGCAGTACACTGGGAGACAATCCCCTACTCTTTTTCGAAGAGTGTACTGCGTTCTTTAACGTGCACATGGGCCATAAATGCACACGGGACCAACGGCTTAAACGTCTCATCCGAAAGACGGTGCGCTATTATAACTTGTATTTCAGCCCTCCAGCCGAAATACAAGGAGAGGCAGAGATAAGAATTGAACCGGGGACCTAGAGATCTCCACGGTTCAGCGCACACACAGTGGCTACCACCAGATTAGCCGACTGAGCTAAGCTGCTCTCTCTGGATTTCTTCGGTGTTGACATACAACAAGGATAACTGACGAAATAAGACCCAAGACATATTTCCAGTAGGGTTGTTTTGGTGGTGAATTTGGCAGTACACCGAGAGAGATAGTCCCTGACTGTTTTCCGAAGAGTTACTACGTTCATTAACATGCGGCCATTATGCACACAGGACCAAGGTGCACATTGGAAAACTTACATTTTAACCCTCCCGCTGAGACACAAGGAGAGCAGCGATGGGAATTGAACCGTGGACCAATAGATCTTCAAGGACCAGAACACATATTGCTTCTAGGTTTGTATGACTCCATTTGTTGACTATTTTAGAATTAGGTGGAATGAATTCTATACACACTCTGCATGCTATATCAACTTACCACATGTATTGTCCTATGGGGATCTCTATGAAATCCGTGGCCCATACCAGAGTAGCCAAAGGAAACACTAGAATGAGGGCTGAGGTAAATTCCCTGCCCATATGCTGCACCATGAAGCTGTAATACAAAGAAAAAATATATTAGCATAGACAACATATTTTTGAATAAGAATTTTTGAATTAAAATTACAGTAAATGCTCGAATAAGGGCTGCGGTGCATATACATTTTTTGGAGGCATCAGTGCTGCGATGCATATACATTTTTTGGAGGCATCAGTGCTGCGATTATACGAGAGTGTGGCGCTTTACATTTATAAAGAAATGCCTGTGCCTTCATTGAGTTATTTATTCATGTTAACACCATATACATTGTATTTAAAACCCTGTTTCTCTAAGTGTTTCATTACACACAGGGTAATATAATATGCTTTGACCAAGCGCCACAGCGCTTATTCGAGAGCAGCGCTTAGCGAAAATAATCTTGTTTGGTGCAGCACTTATTCGAGCATTTACGGTACACAATTTTTAAAATTTTTGTCACAGGAGTGTTCTTACAGGAACAGTGGCAATTAGTCTGTGTATCGAGGTAAGTATTCACAAAGTATATATTTTTGTGTAAACAGTAACATTTATACACAATAAAAACTGTCCTGTTTTGCACATGGAGAATGAATGTATTTGAAAAGGGATTAGTCATGGATAAATGTAGAGAGAGCAGCTTAGCTCAGTCGGCTAAACTGCTGGTAGCCACCGTGTGTGAGCTGAACTGTAAAGATATTTAGGTCCCCGGTTCAATTCCCATCGCTGCTCTCCATGTGTTTCAGCTGGAGGGCTGCAAAAAATTTTGATAGGGCACTAGCTGTCTTTAAGATGAGAAGTTAAGCCATTGCTCCCGTGTGCATTATGGCCCATGTGCACATTAAAGAACGCAGTACACTATTCGGAAAAGAGAAGGGGATTGTTTCCCAGTGTACTATCCAATTACCACCAGAAGAACCCCATTGGAAATAAGTCTTCATCAGACCTGTTGTGGACTATAATTAGTATTTACACCAAATAAATCCACCTTCACAGTCAAGAATGAAAGTAATTGATGATGACTGGATATCCTTGAGAATTGATGTTATATATATATATATATATGATGGATATCTTTGAGACAGAATTTAATTACGGATGGATACAATATATATAAGGTTTGATAGTTAATGCAACATGCTATATTTGCAATAAAAACAACATTTGCAAAGCCATCTCACCTGATACTTAGTTCCTGATGCATTGATGAGTCCCTTTCTTAAAATGGAATGCCAATTTTCTATGTGTGATCCACTGAAAAAGAGAACTAAAGTTAATATGAGAATAAAGGAACAGAAGTAAGGTTACAAAACAAAAAAAAAATATTTATAAAAAATGATATATTCCTTAACTGAGTTGAATATCATGATAATGTAACTGAAGCTACGTGGTTGAGATGAAGTCTCCCTCCAATTAAAGACCACCTTTCTTTTAGGATCAGAGTTTTCATGGGCTTTAGGAGCTTTGGTCTCTAATTAGAATAATAAAGATACAAAACATTTGTGAAATTGAGACCACAGGAAATTGATAGTGGTTTTTAATTGCGGGGAGGGTCCTTAATTAGAAGAAGACCTGCACATGTAAACATGGCTATATACACTGCATTACAAGCAATCACAGGATGAACACATCTGGATGTTTTATTTCAACATCAATAGCTGTTGGCTTAAAATAAGACATACTCTCTGTGTTCACATGATAGCTTAAGCCCTGTCATATTTTATTTGACAAACACATGTGACGATCCTAAATATGGTCATGGTGACACCACATCATGACTAAATATGGGCATACAATTTTTTTATCAAAGACAATGTGATAGTGTGCAGAGTTTTAATAGTCCTCTTTTTAAATAATTTTTTTTTTCACTAAAGACAGTATAACTAAGTATGAGGTTGAAAATGTAACCACGATAGCTTACTGAAATGCGAAGACGCTACCAGACTCTTGTTTCGCCTTTGAGAATATCGCCTCCTTCGAAGGTGGGCTCGTCATTAATAGAAATTGATGAGGAGTATGCATAAATTTGATTTGCTAATGACGAAGTAAAAGAGATGGGAAAAAGAATAGTTGACATGACATGGAATGAAAAGATTGGAATCCATTTACAGGTCTATTTGTGGCATCATTTAAATTGTAACTTTAAATATATGGTTAACATGTTCGCTGCCAGTGATGAGTATACTCGTCATACAGGGTACACTGTGGCTGTTCCGCGGCAAAACAACGTAACTTGAAATGTACACTTTTAGAAAAAGATAGCTTTAAAGTTTGCAAGCTTGCAACAAACTGTCGTAACCTTCTGAAATTTTGTAGGACCATATATCTACAGAAAATGTGATTACGTGTAAAATTTTAATTACAACTGTTGATGTATTGCAAAGTTATTAACGATATTCACAGATATGTTGTTTTACTTCGGAAACATTGAGAATTTTGTCAGGCACGGTATTGCGGCAAGTGTGACTGGGGCAATCATATACAATAATACAGATTGTACATACACTGTTGTTAGGATTGTTGATATGAAAACACCATCAACCAGTTGATTTCGCTGCCAAGCTCAAAACAATTTTTGAATATTATTCCGAAGCAAAACAACATATTTCATCGTAGATATGTTGTTGTCCCCTGTAAACTTGCAGTTACGTTGTTTTACCTCGGAAAACCACAACATTTTAAGTTTTGTAAGTGGTGGTATCTCCGAAATGACTCTTTGTTGAGACCTGAAATTTTCACAGGTAATTCAGAAGTACTTAATATATTCCCCAATGATATTATCTTTTGTTCTATTATTATTATTATGTACGCCTTTGATAATGTTTTTTGAATTGGCGCGTTATAAATTTCTGCATATTATTATTATTATTATCTCAAAATCGACAAAAATGTTATGTTGTTTTATCTGATGGCGGCCGACTGGGGGCGCCAAATAAGAGTATATTCGTCAAAACTGGGGTAACATTTTAGTATTTATTACTTCTTTGTTACATTGTAGAGCCACAGACTTAACGGCTGCTAGTTCGGGGAAGATACAGCTTCATGATAACATGCAAATAACATATATATTTGTTCTGTTATATTGCCGACAGTACAAAAGATTGCACGTGTGGGGGCGCCCTCTGAACCTATACCGACCTATGGAAAAGGCCAACAAGAAAAATTTGGCAAAGGCAATAAAACTACTGTCCTATTGCAAGCGCTGACTACTAATCCCTTTATATTTTACTAGGCTCACCATTTTGATATGCGACTTGATAAAATTTTAACAAAAGCATGTACTTTGTTTAGCACATGGGACAAAACCTCAAAAAATGTCTGGCAGTCAACATGTTAACATATTACTATTAGGATTAAGGGGGACAATTTTATGACCAAAAAGATGAGTTCTTTGTATACATAATGAATTTTTTCATTGCAAACAATGAAGTTACTTCTGGTATTGTAGACATTGTTAGTACAATTTTAATAATATTGTTATTATGCTTATGAATGTAATGCTTAAAGATGTATTGTCCCTTGAATGTGACAAAAATAAAAAAATAATAATTTTGAAATTGACATTGGCAGTAACATAAATATTGTTAACTTGAGGTTAGAAATTATTGAATTTAAAAAATGTGTACCCTGATTTTTATACTATATTTTCAAAAATTGCATTTCTGTATACAGAGTCCTGCAATTTCTGTTGCAGCCTTGTTACTGGCATATGTTGTAACTACCAAAAATATATAATTAAAATAAATTTATTCAATGCACTTCATCTGTGACAATTTCATTCGGCTTAATACTGGACAATGATATTAAAAATAATACAACTCTTCCAGTCACTGGAATTGTTTCATGTTTCTGTAAAATTATTATAATTTTTAAATTACACTAATTTCTATGTTTAAGTTGATAATCTTTTTGTTACTTCAAATTGAAAAAATTAATTCAAAAAATGATTTTTGTATTTTGTATGGGACAATATATCTTTAAGAGTGAAAAGTGTAGGAATTTGGAGACTATCATGATGTGTATAGAAAGTCATGGAACATCATCTTTCTTTGTCTTCAAAAAACTTCCTGTATTTCACAGTGGCTTATCTAAGAGTCTTGAAATGGGGGAGGTGAGGGGAGGGGGGTGATATGCAGTGATTTTTATCTACTTGATATTTTGCATCAAACATTTTCAATTGAGCACTGGGGGATGCAAGTTTTTTTTTTTTGTTTTTTTTTAGGGGGGGGGGGAAGGAGTTTGCCGCTCCATGCTCCCTCTAGATATGCCACTGGCCCTTCACAAATTAATTCTTGGATCAGTACTCAATCAGTAATTTGAATCTACCTTTCTTTTGTAATATCTAAATACAGAATCAGCAAATGGATTGATGTTATTCTTACCCTGGATTCTGGCAACTTAACTATATGTGACCTGTTGCTAGACACAATCCTAAAAAGCAGAGGGAAATGCAATAATAAGGATTTATAAAGTAAATAAACAAGATAAGATTAGCTATACATTTTTGAAGGAGGGATTAGTAGGGAATAAGTAATTAACTTTCTAACTTCATGGTCTTCTTAGGTTATCTTACTATATTAAATAAATTATTGAAATAGGAATATAAAGAACATAGATCTGTAATATGAATATATGAATGGGATTTTATTTATTTATTTTTTTTTTTTTGGTGGGGGAGGGGGGCTACAGCACTTAAAGACAAAAACATACCATCAGAGTAGGGGGTGTAAAAAACATACCATTGAAGTAAGGGGTAAGAATTTGGATCCTTAATATCCATTCGTTTCTTCATATCAGCGGGGTCGCCAGTGGCAAGCATTTCACGAATTGATATAAAACTCTCCAGCGCTTTTTCTATCTTCTGAAAACCAGCACAATCTTTTTTCTAAAAAACAAATTTTTAAAATGTAACAATCTTCATAGCAATGTGCAAAATTTTAATTAATATGAATATATGACACTTAACCAAATTGGCTACTTAACTGGTCAAAATAAAAAATAAATGCCTCTTTTGAATTTGGATATTATCAAAGGTAGTGTACTTACAAAAAATACTGCACTGGGAATGACCATTACATAGGAATGAATTTGTTTTAAATTCTGCAGCAGCTCACTATTATTTTCTTTGGTTTCTACAACACTCTCTCTATTAGTATTATTATTACGGCCATTATTACAATAGAACTCCTCCTTTGGGACAGTCCTATTCATGGCACACCCTTATTTAGGAGACACTTTTCAATGAAACGAGGGGAAATTTACCTTTTACCACTATAATGGCCAAGCCCTATTGAGGGGACGGGGACACTTTGTGAGGGTGCCAAATGGTCAAATTAATACATATCAAATCCCTATTAAGGGGACACTACAACAGTCTCAAATTAAGAAAAATCAATTCAACTTTTTATTTTGACAACTTTAGAACAATAAACTTAACATCAAACCAGAATTTTCTGTCCTGAATCCTTAGAGTGAACATTGGTATAGGCCTACTGCATGCGTATAAGTCAATTTTGATCCTTAAACACAAAATTATTATTTTTTTTGTGTGTACTTTCATAGGATACAAATCTATACCAAAACATGCACTCAGAGTTGTTACTCTATTCATGCTACATGCATCCAATAGAAAGCTAAATATATTTTTTAAAATCATTACCATTGAATCATGAAATAATATTGGGATCAAATAAAACTATTGTAGTTTTTGAATTATATTCTGCTGACTTCATATATTATAAATGAATTGTATTTGAATTGCCAAAAAACCCTATAAAGGGGAAAAATTTCATGTTTTTGGTTAGTGCCCCCTGAATAGGGGTACAACTAAACAGGGGAGACCCCTATTAAGGGGACACATTTTTTTTATCCCAAAGTTGTCCCCTTAATAGACGTTCTACTGTATATTATTAATTTTATTAGGTATACCTTTGGAGAAAAAGCAAATTCTTTTGGGTTAAATGGATCCACAACCATTGGGTAGGGATCCAGGATGAGGTTTTTCCTCTTCGATTTAATAGCTGCAGCAACCATGGCGACAAGCAAATCAACAACCTCAGCACCCATTGCAATGTCTTCAGCTGCGTTACGCATCACGCCGAGAGTCTGGAATGCAAATACACACAGTTCCCGCTCACAAACTGCGGGCTGAAAACAAACAGAAAACAAAAGAAAAGAAAATTAATATGAACAGTAATATGGTGGCTTGAAAAAAAACGTACTGTCATCATTGATATTTGACCAATTTCCTTTCAGTTGCTCTACGGACTAAGCTAGAGTATGAGGTCAAAATGGTATATTTTTTTTAATTTTCCCATTAGGACACTTCATTCACACAGTCTTGCAAAAAAAATGCAATAAACACTCCATAGGACCTACCTAATTCAGATTATTTGAATAACAAAGCTGTTATTTTTAAGCAATCAATTATCATGATTTACAGTATGCTCCATACAACAATAACCTCCTACAACATTTTATAAAGCTACAATATTGACTATTTATTATCGTGCAGTGATGTGTATACTGCTTGGTAATCACTATTATTATTATGCTAACTGAAATATCAATGCCACTACATAACAGAAAGTAAATGTAAACGGAATCCATACCTTTAACATGTACCCATTTTGGAAAATATGTGGTTCATCACACACAACACAGTACTCATTAAGTGAAGATATCCTGTTACGTAGATATGTGAAAATTTGGTTAAGAAATCCATGGCAGAGGCTTGGTACTGTTTTAGCAGACTTCCCAGCCTGGAAAAAAAAATCAAACCAGCAGAGTAATAACTAATTTAAGTTTTGAGGATTTAGCAGGTGTGGCTCCAGGTCCCCCGTCGGGAAGAGCTGACCTGCCCACATCAGCGAGAAAAACGCAATTCATCGGAGAGAGAAAAATATAATATGTATTTTTTTACATATTAGTAGACTGTAAAATTGATTAAATAAGCCCTTGAAACTCCTAAATTATCATAGTTTCTGGGGAATACTTCCCCTGGATCACTTCCGAGAGGTTTGAGCGAGCGATGCTCGACCATGCCCACTTACACTCTCTTCGGGGACATAGGGCAAATCCTGGTGCCACCCCTGGGATTTAATGCAGTGGTTTGTCACTGGGACATACAACTCTATTATATTCAAGGGGTGTTCTAGTTAATAAGTAGATAATTTTATTAGTAATGTTCAGACCACCTTCCGTCTGAAGTAAAGCTACGACAAACGTGAACTTTTACGCACATGTTACTTCCAACTAGTGTCTACACGATGTTTACCCAGGACAACTTATTCAAAGCTTAGAAGTAACTATGCAAATTTTCCGGAAGTGATAGTCACCACTTCGCTGTCTCTTCACAGTTACTTTGAACACATCGTGTTTACAAAGGCAAACACATCATAGGAAATGTTATTTTGGCACTCATTTGTAGGTATTTATCTTTTGAAAATAATTGAGGTCAAAATAAAGGTCGCATTTACTTGCGAGCTCTGAAGAAATGCATCTACACGCAGCGCTACTCTGCTACAGCGCAAAATTCTTTATTTTTCTTGTGTACGCGGAAGTAGCACACTTTCTCCTGAGACTGCTCAGGAGTAAATCGTCTGTAGTAAGGTTGAAGTAACTTAAAATACAAAGATCGTCCTCACGGGCACTACTCAGGGTTTAGGACAAGTAAACTGCTACTTCAATGCTTACTTCTGACTCAACTGAACGTGCCTAATAGTTGGTTTATTTAGGTATTTTAAAAGTATTCTGGAAATAAACTAATAAACAAACATCTCACCTCAGTTAATGTTGGTAAAAGATGAAGTTCATCTGGATTGTGTATATCTGTGGAATTATTTTTTGAACTAGATTTTTGCCGGAAAAGTGTCTTTAAACTTTTCTTCCGTGGAATGAATTCTTCTCCCTGAAAGTTCTGGCACCTGAATTGTCAAAAAATGAAAATGACATCTTTTTTTTACAAATTTTATCATTTAATAAAGAAAATAATTCAAAATATTGTACAGAGCATTTAAATCTATGCTATAACATTTTAAAAAGAAATAAACAAAAGTGCTTTTTTTGCATGATTTGTCATAATGGCATCAAACAAGAAAAGCAATTAGCTTCTACATTTTATCACAATGATTATTCCTAAAAAGGAAACACTTGTTGGTGGCCCATTAAAATGGTTATGCAAAAAAAAATGTTAATTTTGTAAACCTGATTGAATAACTAATGTTGATTGCTCAATTAAAATGGGGAAGGGTACAGTGAAAATCAATTATTTAACAGGAGATGTTGGAAAGGCTACATACCTTGCAGGGTTGGATTGTAGAAAAGAAATGGCAGTAGTTACACTGCCCTCACTCATCACCAATGCATTTGTAGCCATAGTGCGACTATAGCCAAGCTCCATGATTTGAGACAAGGATGTATCGTCAACACAAAGGCTACTTTAACAAAGAGGAAAGCAAGCAAAATAAAAAATCTAGCATGCATATTTGGCAATATGGTTGCTTTCCTGTTAGCATTATACAGTAAAGTTAATTTATATCTTAGACGATATGTTTTTATACCCTATTTAAAAAAAATTCAGAGAAAGGCAAAATAAAAAATTTGAAAATAGTTTTTTCAGAGAGCAAAATGTTTAAGAGCGCTACAAATATTATTAATAAAACTTTTTTCTAAAATACATAATTTTCACGGCAGTGCATTTGCTTACAAGCCAAAAATATTGTGATATTCAAAATCATCATTATCAGCAGTTGACAACAAAACTAAAGCCTGGGTTGTTTAAGCAATGAAGGAGTTGAGAGAGTTGCATGACCAGCCCTGTGGAATTTACCATCCTAACATTAAGGTTAAATAAATAAAATACCGTAAAACCTTTAATAGAAGCAGAATGGGCTTAATCTCAATAAGTAGCCCATCGAATTGAAGCCCACCATTTTAGTTGGCAAAGGTAGCCTCGAAAAGACGCCCATGGGCTTTTTTTCAAGATAGCATTGGCTTTTTTTTTTCGAGACAATATAGTACTGTACATGAATTTCAAGGAAACAAAAGAGAAACATGCTTGGTTTAGCAGCAGTTCAGGTGATTTAATCCCGGTTAATACACTTCATGATAGAGATTGATGTTACCTTATTTACTGTTTTATAGTCATAATTCCCAAAATTCACAGTATTCATTTTGAAAAGAGGGCCCTCTCTTTACTTTGCAAAAAAAGCCTCGAAAAGAAGCCCATCCAAAGTTTGCGCAAAAAAAAAAGCCCAGGGCTTGAATTTGAGGTTCTACAGTATGTAATTTTATAGTTTCGGGTATTAAACACAACACACAAAATAGTGTAAGCTGAAAAACATTTTGATTGATTGACAGGTAAGATGAACATATACACATAATTTTCCCAGCACACCATATGGTACTAATACTCTCTTTAGCTACAATATTTAATTTGAGATGAAACATATTTCGTAACTAATGAGTTATGAAAATTGTGATTAGCAATTAGGATTTTTAATGCCAGAACATTCAGTAATTATGTACAACAATTTTGGCTTCATACAGGTTTTGAGGTTCTTAGGTCTTCATTATTTAATTTGTTGTAATGCAGCACTTTAAGTAGTTAGGAAATGTATCATTACTGATCATGGATGAAAAAATCAAGAATTCAATTATCATAGGAAAATAAATGCGGATTCAACATTAATATATTCAACATATATATATCTGGAGAAATCTGTAAAAAATCATCCAAATTTAATTTTTTTACTCATTTAAAATTATCAATTGATCACAAAGGAGAAAAAATGGAAACAATTAAATTTTTGTGGATTTACAGACATTTTGGTAGAAAACTACTCATGTTTTTCACGAGAAGTAAAAAAAAAAGGTTGTTCCCGGTAAGAGAATGTAAGAATGGTATTATTTAGGGATCTGCAAATGGCAAGAACAACCTACAAGCCTCTAATTAAAGACCCCTCCAATTAAAGACCACTTTTCTATGGTCCCATATTGACAAATGTCTATTACCTTTATTATTCTAATTAGAGAACAAAGCTACCAACGACCGAAGAAACCCTGGTCACAAAAGTGGTCATTAATTGGAGGGAAACTTGGATTTTACTTTAATTTAATTATTTGCAAGTGTAATGTAATAATTTGCTTAAAAATACAAAATAATGAAATTTAAATTATTTAATTTTATTGCTATTTTCTTTATTAGCTGGCGAAAAAATGCAAATTAGTACCTGTTCTTAAACTTTTTGTTACCCGAGCAGTCCACAGATTTCGGTGTTGTGGATGCCAATGGTTTCTGTTTGGATTCAACGTATGAGTTGCTATATACTTTCCAATGTTTGGATACAAACCCTTCAGTAATCCTACAAAGAAAATAAATCTTCATTTACTATGTTGTTTAAATAGATAATTATTAATAAATAAAATATTAATAATAAATAATACATAAAAATATAGAAAAAATAATAAAAATAATATTAATAATAAGCAATTTTAGAAATTTTGAGTGCAATGTAGGAAAATAATGATCCGTAGAGCCTTATTGTTTTAAAAAAGACCAATCCAATTAAAAAATGATTGATTTCAGGCCCAATGGACAGTAATTGCTCCTTCAGATTATTATATTCAAAGAGTGACTTCAAAACTTTACAATAATTGCCTTCTACCATAAAATACATTTTATCCAGATTATGTTAAAATATATCTCTATACATAGTGGTGAAGTGATTTCCAATAAAGTAAACTTTTCAAATTTGTCATTTAAATGCAATAGACCTTTCCGGAGTGTCAATCAAACTTAACAACTGACCAATCAGAACAGCGCTAGGAATACACGCACGTCTCACAAACCCACGTGCTGTGCCACAAACGCACGTGTTCGTGTATGTTTTAACACTGTCGCTTTGTGGGACCTTAGCAACAATATCCAAGGGGCGTGGCTTAGCGGAAAGGTCTATTGCCGTACACTTACTTTCGTACTTGAACACATATGCCAACTTGTTTTTCTTTTGTAGGCTGAAAAACTGTCACCTTTGGAATGTCTGCAAATTATCAATAAAGTCATAATTTATATTTTTTAATGTGTTACTTTATCAAAGAATGTGCTGTTTTTGGTTTAATTCTTAATCACTAAAAAATAAGGCCAAATAAATTAATTGCTAGCTTCATGTCCGCACCCTCACCAAATTTTGGAGCCTCATGAAAAATGTTACTACTTGCTACTTTAAAAAAAAAAAAAAGTAATGACAATCTGAAAGAATGCTGTTAAAAAGCCTAAGAAAAGGTAAAAAAAAAATAGCAGAATACATTACACAGATTCATTTCACTTCTTTTTTCAAAAAAAAAAAAAAAAAAAAAAAAATTTATATTTTTCATCCTGTACCAATAGTCAAATTGTAAATACCCTCATTAAAAATAATTTCAAATGCTGGATGGGGAACTAACAATTAATTTTAAAATGAATATGACAGTCAGTTACAGGTATTAAAATTCTTGTGAAGGGATGACCTACACAGAGTTAGACTAAATTAAAGCATTTTCCTATGTAAAAGCACTAAGCACTAAGTTTACAATACTGATACAAATTAATGTTCATGAAACCTCACTGTATGATAAAATCATCCAGTATTTGAACTTAGAAGGGAATCCCTGTCTTAAATAAACAGTAAGGACCTCAGAGGACTAACCAAATAATTGAAACTTTCCAAAGGTTTGAAGTCCCAATGTTTATTTCAGGTTTTAGTAATTTGACATCTTATGGTAGATCTCAAATTAATGTATCTGGCTAATTCAGGCATTTTGAGTCATGGGTATTATATTGAGTTTACATTTATGGAAAGACATTGGTTCAGAAAATCAGCTTTGTGAAATAAAGCTTACTAACAAATTACTTCAGAGAAGTTACATTTTACAGTATCTGGTTTATGTCGAAATTTATGTTTGGCTTGCGGCCAACTGTCACAGTTCAAGGGCCTCTTAATCCCAGTTACAAAAAAACAGAACATGAGATGGTATAAAGTTAAAATAAATAACATTTATTGCTATTTTTGTAAATACCTTTCCCTTAATATGTGTGAGCACTGTACATAGATTACATCATTCTTTTTAGTTTCACTGAAATTTCAGGATATACTGTATAGACATAGCAACTTCTTGACACATTGGTTCAGAAAATCAGCTTTGTGAAATAAAGCTTACTAACAAATTACTTCAGGGAAGTTACATTTTACAGTATTTGGTTTATGTCGAAATTTATGTTTGGCTTGCGGCCAACTGTCACAGTTCAAGGGCCTCTTAATCCCAGTTACAAAAAAACAGAACATGAAATGGTATAAAGTTAAAATAAATAACATTTATTGCTATTTTTGTAAACACCTTTCCCTTAATATGTGTGAGCACTGTACATAGATTACATCATTCTTTTTAGTTTCACTGAAATTTCAGGATATACTGTATAGACATAGCAACTTCTTGACACGATCCATACTTTTGTTTTTACTTTTGTTTTTATTGAATATATTAGTATTTAAACTGAAAGTTACTGCAGCATGCAATGCTATTAATTACATGAACCAGCTGTGAGGTATTTGCACGCCTACTTCCTCATACAGCACAGTAATCAAGCAAATAAGACCTGGACAAAATGTTGAATTAGTGCTTCCTGGTTTGCTAAATTGTTGGTACAGATAATAAAAAATTGAAGTGGAAGTCTCAATGTACTAGTTAAAGTAAACAAGTATAATAATGTAGCAGGTTACTGACTCATGGTATTATTTCAGATTTTAGCCACATTGTTTTAAGGCTGATGATATTGTACACTGGAAGTGGGGGGGGGGGGTGCGATCGAGATAACACTACACTAGGGGTCCAGGAGTGCCCCCGTGAAATTTTGGTGTTCTAGACCTATCAGGGGATTTAGATGATCTTTTTTTTCTTTTTCTTTCTTCTTCTTTCTTTCTTTTCTTTTTTTTTTGCTTTCCAAAAGGTGGGGGGGGGGCAGGGCCAGCCCGGCTCTGTCCCTGGACAGGAGGGAATCTCCAACCTCGGTTGACTATATGCCTGATGACCAAATTATAATACGGGTTAAGCATATAAAGCTCCTTGGTTTTTTCATATCCAATGACCTCTCTTGGTGGAAACAAGTTCATGAAATTGAGTGTTGTTATGGCAAATGCTCAGAGTTGTTCTACATCTATGCTTTTTAAACTCTACCAGTGTCTAGTCCTCCCTCATTTTCAGTTCAGTACTGTTGTGGGGTGTGGTTTCCCTATCGGAATTTTCAGACTCAAATTACTGAGCAGATTCAAATAAGGACATCCTTGAATTGAACAGTCATATGAGCGAAGACTTATTATTATTATTATTATTATTATTATTATTATTATTATATTATGACCACCAATACCATCATCAGAGATTATTTCACTGTTCTGTTGGTGATATTTTACTTTTTTATCAACATTCTATTACAGTACATATAACTTGTGGGAAATTAATCACCATCATGAATCCTCACATTTAGGCATTTCACTTTTGTATTCCTACTTGTTTCAAAACAACTTGTGCCAGAATGAAAAAAACAAAAAATATGAAAAAACTTTTAGTCAACTTCATGCTTTAGGTCTACATTAATTTGTTCATCTTTACATAATTGTAAATTGTATATTGAAAACTTGATCAGCTTGGGCCAACTCTAATAAATATTGTTAATAAATAGATAATAAATGCTATGGAACTGAGCTCAATCATTTATTTAGTCAATAATTATCAATTTCATTATGTGTTACTTTATTCTACTGTCCTTACTTTGCCATAATCAGTAAAAAAGTTACAACATCTAAAAGATTATAACATTGTATAGATTGAAAACAATAATTTATTAGACTAGAGTTTCTTAAATCTAAATATTTCACAATATAAAACAGAATAACATCTGGGGGAAAAATTATATAAATTAATACAGTATTCATACATTCATGGAAGCTCATTTAAATTGCAAATGTTTACTTGTGCGAAAACAATCAGGCCATTTGCGGAAAATTTACCATTCACCATACTGTACCAGGCTTCCAAATATTTAAAGTATTAAAAGGAATTCACATTTTTAATAAATTTCATTTTTCAAAAATGAATTCAGACATTGGGAAGGGGGGGGGGGAGAGTTGTCAACCACTAAGCTGGCCAATTCATTCATCACATTCTCATCTCAAATCCAACAAATAATGTCTGCTTAAGAATGGACTACAATTATCAATCATTAACACCTTTCTGTGTATTCCAAAAAAATATCAAGAACTTTATCTATGAAGATAAAAAAAAAAAAAAAAAAATTCTATCTGTCCCTTATTTGCATTAGGACTATGTAATATACAGTAAATGTGACTACCTGTATGTAATATCCTCTATAATATAGTACAGTAATATACTGCTGTAAAATAATAATATTCTATGTTTAAAAAGTGTGTAAAAATAAGAACAAAATAAGAACATATTGAGCCTGCAATCGGCAAAAAAATAAGAACATTGAGCCTGGGCAAAATTCGACTGGTTCAAGAAAGAAAAAAAAAAACCAATTATTTATTGGGTGTGCAGTATCTATTTATTATTTCTTTTTTATTTAAAGTTTTTTTAATTTTGCTTGTCTAAAAATTTCAGTAGTGTTTTCCAGTGTTTTCAAAATGGACATTTCATTTAAACTTAACGGGCTTTATGTTATGGAAATCTATATTGCATTGTTCTCTCATAATCACTACCATAGGAGGGCTGCCGAAGAGTACAATACATCAAATTATTTTAACTTCAAATGCTATCAGCATGATTTTAAGACCTTAGAAAAAAAATTATACAAATTGTCCACTGAGTATGAATAAACATATTTAAGTAGTATTTCAACGCCATATTGAATGTTTTGGTGTGAAAAGATGACCTCAAAAGAAAGGTTAGAAACAGTGCTTGTGCATGAATAATAGATATCCAATAATATGGCTGTCTACCTTCAAGGAAAATACAACTCCAATAAAAAGGGCCATTGTGATCTGAAGTGTTTGCAGGCTCAAAACAGTGTTGCCTTTTATTACGCTAAATAATGACTGAGGACAAAAAAACCTTTATGTTGTCCCAACTGTTCAAAGGAAAATTAATATTGCACCTAAACCACAGCCAATAGAAACTACTCCTTTATAATTCTATTATTTAAAGTGCAAAAAGCGAACAAGGGCTATTATGTGTATGAATGTTACAATACATCACTACATCTAAAACTTTAATCTTAGCAAAAATATGACAATATAAAATAAAATGAGCAATATATTATTACAAAATGCAATTTGTCAATAATACAAGCTTACCTCCATCTAAGTAACGGGAGGAAGAGAAGTTGAGACGAACAACTAGCGGTTGATCAGATAATAACGACCAAGCACTTGCAATCTCAGACTGAAAAAGCACAATATATCAATCAATCAATCAATCAATCAATCAATCATCAATTGATAAAACAACTTAATGCAATAGGCATCTAGTGCAAATAACATTATGAATAATAATGTTGGTCAGCCTTATAGTAGAGCATATCAACAAGGGTATACTGTACTGGTATGTAGGTCCTTCATATTACTTTACTACCCCAGACAATTGCAAAATACTGTCCATATAGCCTGTTACCCTGGGGTTATGGACCATTAGGCAGGATGTGCATAAAATGTAATCTTTCTGCTACTGTAGCTACCAGAGCAATGACAGAAACCTTCTAGTACTCACTTAGAGAGAAAACTCTATTTTGTGGCAAAGACAAGCCAAACCAGTCACTTCTCTCAAAAACCAATTTTTAGTTATTAATATAGAATTACACAGTAAAATGAGAGCTATAAAATGGTAAAAGAATCATTAAAATCCAACATTTCGTTATGAAGTTACAGGAGTTTAGACATACAGCTGTTTAAAGAACAATATTTGAGAAATCAGCCTTCAAAATTTATGATTTTGGGCATTTCTTAGGCAGAAACCATCACCAAATCATTAGAAATTGTTGTTTAACATTGAAATGAGATACCATAGCATGATGTATAGATATATATAAAGGTTGTTTTAGTGCAATAAAATAGATTTCAAAAATATTGACATACCATGATGTTTTGGCCATTACCTCTGAAACAGGATTTGCAAAGAGTGACTGGTTTGCTTGTCTTTGCCACATTTTACTTTGTGTTTTATGTTACAGTAAATAATTTTTCTATCATAAATCATTTTATTTCAAGATATTATTATTTATGTTAGTTTTAAATTATTATTTTCCCTTTATTTAGCATTTTATTTTTCCTTGGAACCCATTTTTTCTTTTTTTTCAATATTTTTTTCAATGTCTATGTCCTTTAATTCTCTAGATTAACTTATAATTTCAATTATTTTTCTGCTTCTTTTAATGTGTCAATTTAATTTATTTTCATTTTGTTCATTATTATTTTTAATGTTTTCTGAAATCATTACTTTATAAACATTCTCTGATTTTACATGTTTCTGTTTTAATTTAAAAAATTTGTTAATGTTAATGTTTGATTTTCATCTTTTATTCTTTTGTCTTTAATTGTATGTAATTAATCAGTTCTGGACCACTGTCACAAAATATTGCAGAAATAAATGAATAAATGGAAAACATGTTTCAGTCAGGACAAAAGTAATTGCCTAGGGTGGGATTCAACATTGACTCTCAGGTTTGAAAACCAAATTAGTGATAACTGATTTCACAGTCAACATTGTCTCAAAGTGATTTTTTTCACTCACGTTGATGCTTTTAATTCTGAGAAAGCAGTCAATGACCTACAGTATGCCTGTTGTAAATTTAACCATTCTTAAAATGCTATCCTATGATTTGTATTAACATTACCACAATTTTTAACCCTAATGCTTAATATATTTCGATTTGTAACTGTGAGTAAACAGGATATTTATACCACATGTATTGAAATATGATTGGAGACAGGCACTCTATACCACCATGTTAAACCAGCAATCAGTTTATCAACTTACATGAAGAAAAGATATGTCCAACTTCAGATCAACATCAACATCATCCAAAGATGAAAAACGCCTGCATTTTGATGGTAAAAATATTGTATTTAAAATTCCACAAGATCTACTTCAGTATATTTGTCTTTATATGTATAGCAAAATGTAACAATATAATTTTTGTATATTTTATAATTGCACAGTATAAGAAAATTTACAAACCTGACATCAATCGTAGAGGGGCCATACCACAGTTTTACTGAATGTATATCATGGCTAAGTAGAGAGTGCAAAGCTGTCTCTTCTAATACCTCGTCTTCATAGGCCTAATAGAAAATTACATGTTTATAAATTACAAACACAAATTTTAATCAATTCCAAATCTACCAACATAAATAAAACGGTATAACCATGAAGATCAATTTTATATACTGAACTTATATAGCAAACTTTATTTTTTAAAGATCTTCAGTGGGATGGGAAATTGGAAATAAAATTTTGTTTTTTCATTTAGCAAAATGGCACTGGCAAAGGCATACTGTATTAACCTTGAATTAAAGCCCAATGGGCTTAATCTTGAGAAAAAGCCCATCTCAAATTGAAGCCCCCCTCTTTAGTCAGTGCAAAAGTAGCCTCGGAAAGAAGCCCAAGGGCTTCTTTCAAGATAGCATTGGCTCTTTTTTCGAGATAATAGAGTCATAGAGAAAATAGAACTATTTTCTCTATGGTAGAGTACACTGTACTCGAATTTCAAGGAAACAAAAGAAAATTAAAACATGCTTGGTTTATACAGCAGTTTAGGTGATTTAATTAAGGTTAATACACTCCATGATGCAGATTGAATACAGTGGCCCTATTTATTGTTTTATAGTTAGTAATTCCCAAAATTTACAGCATTCATTTTGAAAAGAGGCCCTTCTCCCTCCCCCTCCCTCTTTAGTTTGCACAAGTACTGTAGCCACGAAATGAAGCCCATCCAAAGAACAAGAAGCCCACGGCTTCAATTAAAGGTTTTACAGATATAGGCTGAGGAGAAACAAAAATACATTACATTCAAAAATCAATGCTTGTTTACTATAGCTGTAGCTCAGTAGGCCTATACTGTTGGTAATGCAGGTACTTTACTGAGACCGGATTGCATGCAGCCATGAAACCTTTTTGAGCATCCATTACTGTACATATCCTATAGTGTATTTCCAGAAACTGAAAACACATCCTGTATTAAGGATTATACAGAGTAAACAGCAACAAAGAAAGATCTGGCAAAATAATCTGCTTATTTTGTTTCATAAACAATGAAAGACACTTGGTTGAAAACATGCTTTGTGCACCTGTGTTTCCTTGTCACTCTTTAAAAACTTAAAATCCCTTTACAATGATTCCTATGCTGCAGTGCTACAGTATGCATAGCAACCACACAGTTATTAATACTCATGGAACTTTATTCCATATTCAATAAGAAATTATTTAAGTATTAATTACTTAAAAAACATCAATTAATTTTTATAATAGAACAAACATTAAGTTATTGTTTTTTTTTTTGTTGCTATATTCTATAATGTCAAATATATGTCCGAAAGGTCCACTGATTAATCTCAGATAAGAAAGTATAATACATACTCCAAGTATTGAAATACACGCCATCGTGTTGGGATTCAATATTTCGACATTAATTATGTCATCATCAGGAATGATGATGACATAATTAATGTCGAAATATTGAATCCCAACACGATGGCGTGTATTTCAATACTTGGAGTATGTATTATACTTTCTCAAATATATGTATTGGCTCTATTCATTCAGTCAACATCCACCCACTGTACTATTATAATATCATTAAAATTAATATGCAAGTCAATCATGATGTCATTACTGCAACTCCCAATGTTATTTGCCTCTCCCCCACAGTGCACACTTGGTTTGATCTCTTTTAGTTTGTGTGCAAAAGACCAATTAAACTTTTGTACATATCATGCACCTTGACGAATTCTAGGCTGGTTTTTTTACACTAGGACTATGACATGCGCCTGGGGAAAGAGAGATTAGACACTTGCCCAATCGTCGTTTGTTGACAAGTGTTAATTGAATAATTACCTTTAAAACAAGGTTGATTAGAACCAGAAGAAAGTTACCGGTACTTCAAATTCAATATTAAATTATAAAATATTAAGGAATTCCTTGAATCAATGGACACTAACAAACTAAAGAAACTGCATTTAACAGGAATATTCTAGACCTAATTTAAAGGTACAAGAAACAAAATATACAGTATAGGCCTATGCAGGAAGCCGCAGAGGCCTAGACCGTAGCCTAGCCTAGATATGAAATTATCACTTGAATTTACTTGTCTGTACCTACCAAAAATGATTACTGTATTCTCTCAAACGTATTAGAAATGTTTATTTCTTTGACGAATGTCTATCAAAATAGCATTACAAATTCTTCAAACACAATAAATACTGTACTGATTCATCTTATCCACATTAATGTGTAACATCGCTAGATGTGTGTTAACGTGTACTGCAGGAGCATCAGCATACACACAGCTAAAAGTAATACGCACACTCTATACTGATATCACCGATGACTGCTACAACAGTTCATTATCAAAACTAACATTTAGCATGTTCTCACACGGCAGCTAACGGTTAGCAGGATCCGGATCCTGCTAACCGTTAGCAGCCGTGCGTCCATGCTAGAAAATCCCGATCCGGATAGCAACAATATGATGATCGAATCACTGGCCAATAAGAAACTGAAAATTGTAAACGTGTACGTGTGAATGGTTGATGATAGAAACGCCCTCAACTTGCTAACGGTTAGCGCTAACTGACCGGGCGTTCTTACGCAGGTGCTAACTGTCAGCGCTAATGGTTAGTTCCCGATCCGGATATTAGGGCTTTCATGAGAACCAGGCTTTAAAGATGGCAATTAAAGCAATTAGTATAGCTGCATCGTACACAAGGGGAAAATTATTATACTTAGGTTAAAATAATACATTCAAAAATTTGTTCAAGCACTAAATTTAACCTTTGTAGTGTACAATAAATTTTCTGTTATTTTATTTGAAATGATCATTATTGGCGGACGGCGGGTTCGCTAAACATGGTATAAAAAAGTCTTGCCCACTCTAACTACTGTATACCTACATAAATAGAAAAAAAATGAGGAAGTTGCATGGTTGCGGGGCCGCTTGTGCTTGGCGCCAGGAGTCCACTGTTTTTCAAGGGGTGTTTCTCGTGTGAGAAAGAATAGGCAATTAGTCGGTTTATCCAGGTAAGTATTCACGAAGTAGACAATAATAAATTAGTCAGTTTTTTGTTATGTATACAGTAGTAGGACTAACAAATATTATAGGGTGGCACTTAAAAATTATCAGACTTGAAATGAATCATATTACACCATGCATAGTAGAAAATCACAAAATTATACTTAATATTATAATTCTATTTTAGATCGTTTTAATTCCGGCCCTATACTATAAAATCTAGATTACAGAATTACCCAAGTACCAACATCATTTTATGATCCCTAATTGATTATGCTTCTCTTAAAAATAAACTTTTTATTTATTGGTACATTTTCCCATTTTTAAGGCTGGCATCAGTCCCAATCATAAAGTAATTGGTACCAAAGTTGTAATCATTATGTAGGCTAAACAGTAAATATCAGTATAATACAGTACTCACATCATCTTCATCATCATCATAATGATCATCACTATATTGGTAATAATCCTGGCAGTCTTCATAATCATCGTCTTCACTACCACTGTCTTTTTCCTCATCCCCAAAGTAACCGCATTCCTCCTCAATCACATCCTCATTAGCGTCGATGTGATTTGTGAGCACAGATAATTGTTCTATAATGTGCTCGCTTTCTTTTGAGGCACTTGTATATCGGTCACACTGTTTATGTGTGCTTCCATTCGGTTTCTCGTTGATATACTGGCTCCCGTTACTATCAGCGTTAGAGCATGTACTATGTGCACACGAACACAGGTCTCCCTCAAAGTCTATATCATCTGTATCTATATTTATTGCACCATCGTTTCTATTGTTCTGTTTGTGAATGTTAACGCAATCCTTTAAGCATGTTCCTTGTCTGAAGTCATACCCACCATCATCCCCATCAACAATGTAGTGTATGCCGTCAATTTGCTGAAAATGCTGGTGTGTCTCTTTTTCTGTTGGGAGAAGGCATGATCTGCATTCGTCAGCTGCTGTCTGTCCGTCGTCATTTCGTTTTTGTTCCGCTAAAAGTAGTGGTGCTCTGCTCTCATCTTTACCTGTATAACAACGATAAGAGAGGTCGTCCATCTTAACGCATTCTAAAATAGATTAAAAGAAACAATTAGAAAATGACATAAACATTAATTATGAAAGAACAATGATACAGAATACAGTACTTGCAAACACATTATATATTTACTGTTCAAATGTTTATTAATAAATGCAATAAAGTACACTTCCCACAGCACTGATATTCACTGTCCTTGTTCCACAGCCAGGTAAAGTACCAATGATTTGAACAGTTATTCAATCAATTAAATTAGGATTTATAATTTATCTATGTCATCTTGTCATGAATTCTTACTTGACATCTGTATTCATATTTATTGCACCATCGTTTCTATTGTTCTGTTTGTGAATGTTAATGCAATCCTTCAATAATACATGAGGATATTTTGATCCTCAGATATCAAAATGTTCAGCCTGAAAAATTGTTGATGTCTTTTGAATATTTTGATGTCCAGTTTAAATCAATTGTCAATTTTTTAATGCAATTTTGAATGCCTAGGTCCAGTGTAGGACTATTTACCCGGTTTTGATAGCACTAGGGCCCCTAGGCCTAGCCTACACACCCAAAACCGCGGCTACTCTAATGTGTAAAATTCCCAACCCTTTTGAGGCCAGTTACTATTACGGGTAAATTTCAGGGATTACAATTGACAGGTGCATAAGGATCAAGAAAAGAAATTTAGATAAACTTTTAAAAAAAAAACAATGCCCTCTTAATAAGGATTGAATAGGTGTTGATTTGACCATTTGGCATTCTGACTAGAACAAGGTTATTTTTCATGTGATTTTCACTCTTACTTTTTGTGATTTTAATGCTTACTTTTTTTTAATATGCAGTAGAAACAAGGATGAAGTTTATGTAAAAATGGACATACTGTAACATGACTGTGACCTGTCTCTTATACACATCTAGATGTGTATAAGAGACAGTGCTAACGGTTAGCGCTAACCGATCGGGCCTTCTCACGCAGGTGCTAACGGTTAGCTCCCGATCCGGATATTAGGGCTCTCGTGAGAACCAGGCTTCTATGGGCTACGTTCAGACCTGAGAGATACGCCAGGCAAGATGAATAATAAGATGGTTACGATACCTGACGCGCTTTTCCGACAAGCGTCGTAGAGATTTGAAATTGTCCAAAGTACCCTCCAGAATTACAGCAGAGTTGGATCAAAATGATACAAACAGTAGAAAAAGATATATAGATTAAAAGGCAAAATACTAGAAAACAACAATGCTGTGGGAAACAATGGCTGGATCTCAGTAGAGATACAAAAATGATAAGCAACAGCTAAAAAGTAAACGTAAGTAAACAGCCAGAAATAGAACCAGAGCTTTCGGACAACACTAGTCCTTCCTCAGTGGCGAGTGAATGAGGGTAGAAAAAGCTAGATGGTATAAAGTGAGAATTTCATGCAAGCATGATTGGAAACAATAGGCTGGGTGAGGGTAAGATTAGAATAAACAGTTTAAACAAGTAAACAGGAAGGCCAATACTAAACTTTAGAGGCAAGCCTCAATAAATAAGCCAAATATTGTAATCATATATATATGATTACTTTATGTGTAATAGATTAACCAGCACAGAAAAAAGCAAGTAGTTTAAATTAATAATGTGTACAGTATTTAAATTGCTTTCACCAAATCTTGTTAATTAAAACAAAGCAGGATATCCTTTTTCTTGAAATAATTTTCGCCAGCTGTTGATGAAAAGTACACACAAAAAAAAAGACAAACAAAGTGTAACTTTATCTAGGGCCTCCCTAGGCCTATACATTTAGGAGGTATGAAAGAGCAATTCAATCTAATCTAGGCCTAGGCTAATCTATTATCTCTCATCATACTACTATACATACAATACTACAAACATCAACATCAACAATAAAAATAAAAACCAAAATCAGAAAGGAGCAACTTAACATTAAAACATCATACAATGACACCAATACAGTGAACAAAAAGAAATATGATTTCATAAGGTTTTTATCCTGCAGAGAATAATAATGGTTGTGCATTTTTATCCACGGTCACTGGTACCATAGCCCTATTAATAATAGGTCCATGCTGATAATACATACTGTGAAACTTTACCTGAGGTAGGTAGGCCTAGCCTAGTAGTAGCTCGCTACCTAACCGTGGTAGGCCTAGCCTACACATCCAACTCGGTATTTAATCCTTACCTATTCTGAATATACTGTTGACGCTGACAGTACAAACATTATATATAAAACGACAAACAAACAGCTAATTTAAGTGTAAAAATCAAGGAAAAGAGTCCATCTGTCCTTTTACTTTCGGCACCGCTTCCTTTGTTTTGTTCTGTTCCTGCGGAGAAAACTCAACACTATTCATCTTCTTGTCGCAATATCGAGGCCTGCGCAATCACATACATCCTTGGTAAATTGCAAGTTGTTCAATCTCCGGCGGTACAAAACGACCATCGTCTCAACTGTAGAATCGCGTCGGGCCGCGTCCGACCACCTATTTGAGAGCTGCCAAGTCTCCAAACGGGGAATTCGGACGATCGAAATGATTGCTTCGCCTGTCAAGTTCGATGTTTAAAGTCATTTTGGCGATAATAGTTGAGGTATCTTGAAGTTTATTTAAACGCTAATGCGTAATTTGAAAATGTATAGATAATATTAAGGCGTACATAGGCTCATCGATGGACTAATTATATTAATATTGAAACGTATGGTTTTAAAAAAGGCCTGGCCTCTGACTAGGCCTAGCCTACACAGAGGTTTAGGCTGGACTAGCTTTCACTGTACTACTACTGTATCTAGGCCTAGCCTAGGGAGCATAGGCCTACATGCCAAGTTGAAGGTAGCTGGTGGCTGGAGATTTAACAGGAAATAAACCCAATTGGCGTGGGTCGAGGGCCCGCCTAGGCCCCCGAAAAATGTTGGGCTTAGTAGGCCTTATTTAATTAGACTTAATTAGGCCCATATCGGCCTCTACCTATAGCGGCCGCCCTCTAGAACGGCCGCCAATGCGTGTATAGGCCTATGTATGGAACGCCGATGACGCATTCACAATTAATAATACAATACCGCTCGCTAAATACCTTCGAGTCAACTAGGCCCCAGTCAACTCGGCCCGGCAGGTTAAATCGGCCCTCTTTTTCATTTTATATGTAGGCCAAAGATCTTATTATAAACACAAGATAGCGTTCTCCGGGATTTACGCGTGCAAATTCTGTAATAAGGCATGAATGGCGCCCTCTTGCTAAATTGGAAACTTTTGACCCTTGACTGCTCTGATCTGACCATACAGTACACCGCCTGTGAACAGCAGAACAGGAACCATCTCAGATCCATGGCAACAGATAGGACGCCCTCTTCCAAAACTTATTACTTTTTCTCTTCGGTAATAGCGCATGAATGGCGCCCTCTTGCTAAATGGGAAACTTTTGAACCTTGACCGACGCTTCTATTTGTTACACGTAAATCGCGGAGAACGCTATCTTGTGTTTATAAGATCTTTGATGTAGGCCTACACACTATATAAAACTACTTAAAAAATAACTATTAAAAAAAAAAAAATTGAAGTCACATTAAGAATTGTAAACATCATAAAAATATAATAAAACCATTGCTCCAAACAAAACGTTCGATAGATTGAAGTTCTTCTCCAGTAAAGTATGGTATTCGTTTCTTATTATTATTTTATATATAAATCTAGTTTGGATTTTATCTATTATATCATAATTTATATATAGGCCATATATATTTAATTATGTATACATATATATATATATATATATAATTTATATAAGAATAGGTTGAAAATTGCTTTCCTCCACTGAAGTATTTCATACATATGATATTCGTTTCTTAATTATTTATACTCAAAATATGTACACGATTCATGCTATCGATTCAATCTTTTGTTACTCAATAAAAAGCAACAATACTAGAGTAGTAGGGTTAAAAGTTAACGTTAAAAAACCTGCTATGATAATGCCGTCCTGCTATTCTCAATCGGCCGATGGCCAACAAGCTAACCACCGCCATTAATTTCGTCTGCTGTTATGTAATACTGTAGGCCTACTCACAACATTCTTGTCATGACAAGCCATGCTCTCTGCAGGATTATCTTTCCCGATGCACTACCATTCGTAATTTGCGGTTTACTTATATAATCGTTTTTCTTTAAAAATGTGCCTCTTGAATTTGATAAGTTCTCATAAAAACCCCTCGATTTTCATCTATTTCCATAAGCGCCCCCCTCAATTTCCACTCTTTTTTTAATAAGCGCCCCGTTCAAATAAGCACCTCGTTTGAATAAGCGCCCCTCAAAAAGTGCAAAAAAATATTGTAAGCGCCCGGGCGCTTATTCGCGCGAGTACGGTACAGTATACATTTTTATAACAATAACGATAATGATACGATATGATTTATTGGGTTCACTTTCAGATCAGTAAATTTGGTAATTATTTTAATTAATAATAATAATAATAGTATAGTTTTATAGAGCGCACATATCCATCTAATGTAAGATGCTCAGGGCGCTTGATATGTGGACTAGGAACTCGATCAATGATTTTCTTCGCCCCTGAGGTCCCTTCGTGTCTGTACTACCCGGTAGCCCAGTACCAGCAACTCTTGTCATCCACCACAGGGGCTGTCTGTTGAAAAGCCATGAACCAAAAAAATGTATCAATTATTTTAACAACAAACTTTAAAAATTTTATTAAAAAAATTAATTAATTATCAAGGTTAAAAATGTAATATATTAATAATTTAGCCTAATTAATAGGCCCCATATTGATTAATACAGTAATACAGACATACATGTCATTCTGGAAGTGTTGCCGTTTTGGTCCATTGCCATTCTGGTCAAAAATTGTTGCCGTTTTGGTTTTTCGCCTTTTTGGTCATTGCCGTTTTGACTTATTGCTGTTTTGGTTTTTTGCCGTTTTGACCTGTTACCAGAATTTTCGATGATTCTGGTAGGCTTGATAAACAATAGAATTCTGAACGTTTTCGAGTATTTTCGATAAAAAGTTGGGTTTAATAAAATAAAGCTTGAGATTATTGGAAAAACGTGAGATTTTAGAGGAGTGGCTTAAGAGTTGAGGTTTGGTCGAAAAGTGTGAGGCTCACGCCGGATGCGTGGGACTTGATAGGTATGAGGGAGGGCATTAAGTGCGATCGTGGAGACCAAGAATAGTGTACGTCTGTAAAGCCATTTGTTGTGTTCTGTACTTGTACCACTACTACTAGGCCTAGCTAGTAGTAGTGGTAGGCCTAGTAGTTTGTGATTTACAGTACTGAGTAGTACTAGCTAGTAGCTCCTGAGATAATTAAAGCAGGGAGTTGTTATTTTGGAAGAGTCACATCAAAATTCTCTCTTTTGATTAGTCTACTTTTTCGACAAGGTAATGATAAACAGTAGTAGATAACAATTTAATCCGATCGCCAACTACGAGCATTATGCAGTACACTTTGTTTTGCTTCACTGCTCAAAGTAACGCTTGAATTATCTTGTCAAAAATTCTGTGTTGTTTTGATTGAGTATTACCCGAAGCTAGCTACAATAAGAATATCGAGACGATTAATGATGGACGATTTTTATAGGATGCAGATTTATCTGATTTACATTTTGAAGATAGTGATCTTGAAGATGTGTACATCAATGAAAATGAGCCTATTTATTGACCATCGGGAGAAGATTCAGATGACCAGATTATAGCCTGTGAAGGGAAAGATTGCCCAAATGAATGATTTCATTTCCAGTGCGTAGGATTGACAGCCGACAACATCCCCGAGACCCAATGGCTTTGCGACTAGTGTTCAGTCGTATAAACGCCCGTGTCTAGGCCTAATAACATGAATGAGAAGACACTCCGTAGCATAGAAAACACAGGTTGGTAGCTACCATACTTAATGTTTTGTATGTGTAATTTTGCTAAAGAATAAAATTGTGTTGTCAAAAAGGAATTACGTAGGCCTATCAATTGCCCATTATTTTATATTTTGTTTTGAGAGAAATTAAATAGGCCTACAGCCTAGATTTGTAGGCCTAGCCTAAGCCGAGAGTGTGCATAAAAAATTAAACAATGTAATGTGAAAAATGAGTGAAAAGAATACTGTATTGTCATGTTTTCTAATTCCATACATCACAGGTCAGTCAAAGATTTCACACAAAAACAGTCTAAGAAAAGGGTTGCAGACACGCTACAAAGGATAAAAGACAAATGCAGAGTGGAAAATTTAAAAAAAACAACATCAGGTACTGTATTGTACTAGCCAAAATATATTTATTTACAACTGAACAAAAGCAAAAAAAAATATTAACATTGGCAAAATATATAAAATTAGAGTTTCTGGCTACAAAATTATTATATAAATCATAAAATGATATACACAAGTACATTGTGATATTCTTGTTTACGGAATATTGTGAAAAAAATGTAGAAAATGACTAATTAAATTGAAAATTACATCGTTAACGATTCCCTGTTTTGTACTAGGCCTATACAGTATTATGTAAGCTGAAAACGGAGAAGTGACATTATTACAAAGTATTGTATATACAGTAATACAAAGCAATGTACTGTAATAAACTCTATAAGCTGCTTGTAATTCAAATAAGCACAATACTGTACTGACAAACAAAAATTAACGATATGTACAGCAACAACAATGAAGCGCTCTGCTGTAGTTAACAACATCTTATTTTATTTATTTTAGGATCTGCTAACTGCAGAAAGCCGGTCTTAAAATATTCAGTAGAAGATGCTAAGAAAGCCTTCCATCAATTTGTCAACAAATGAATCTTTAAAATCACTTCAAGTGTATCCTGTATATAGTGGACAATTTCGAAATGCTCGATACATGAAACAGCTGGTTGATATTTATTATAAATGATGTTCAGACAAATTTGTTAAATGAATTTTTAAATGAACTTTGGGGTGAACTGTGGCTTGCATTGTGTTCAGCAGTTTTTAGGTGCAGATTCATACAAGATTATAAAATTAAATATCCACAAAGTTCTATTTTTTCCAAATGTTAGAGCTTCTTGGTTTACACTTATTAAATCTAATGATGGTGAAGTAAAGACCTACACCATTGCATTCATGTACATAGTAGAAAGATAAATAATGGAGTCTGATATTGCAAAGAAAATGTGGGACAAGCTGTTGTCAAATAAGTAGTTAAATTTGAAATTATCTACAAAATGTTTAACAACTGTAGTTACTACTGTACATTAAGGTACATTGAAAAGCATTTATCAATGTGTATTTACAAATAAGGAAAAAAAATGATAAAAACATTTCACGTAAAAAAGAAAAAAGTCTTCGTCAAGAACTTAATAATTCGGTTCCTCTGCAATGTACGATCAAATATTTAAATGATAGAAGTTCACTTTTCTGTTAATATATAAGCTGAGATATGTTAATAAAGCACATAAGAATAATTACTTGTATAAACTATTTCTTGTGGTTGCTAGTTGATGATCTTTGACACTTGGGTAATGGTGCATCATCAACAGTTACTTTGCCAGTCACATTTCCATTCGTAGTTCTGTAACCTACTTATACATATTTTTATTTAGATCTAGGCAGCCATAGGACAATTTATTATTTTAATTTGTATTCCATTTACTGTATTCTTTACATGAACATTCATTATTACTTGACCCTGCTTGTATTGATACTGATGAGTTGGGCTGTTTTGAAGTTTTTATGATGAGCTGACCAATCACAGTTCAGCATCTTCATTGCATGGTTTGGAGAGGTGTATAAAGGAGATATGCAAAAGTTGTGTATGAAAATGGAATGTCATAAATATGAAAAAGAAATTTAATATTAATAATAGTATGAAGTTCATATAGGGCTAGTGCATATGGCATGCTAGATACCTCTGTGCTTTATTAAAGTATAAAGTTACTACATTATAATATTTATGCATAGAAATTTTTTTTTTTCTTCTTCAGACTTGACAAAAAGTCAAATCAGTGCAGAGAGCCAGCAGAAATATGGCAGGGGATAGAGTGCAGAACATTGACCTTGGTGCCAATATACCTATAGTAGCACCAGTGGCCCCGGTGGCTCATCCAAACCCTGGTCACCTACATATTCACCATGCTCCAGCTGCCCCATATAACTGGCAAGCTGGTAAAACCACTGTGAAGGAGCGATTTGCCTACATGTTCAACAATGAAATCTTAAGCGATGTTCACTTTATTGTTGGTAAGGGGATGCAGACACAGCGTATTCCAGCCCATAAATTTGTTTTGTCTGTGGGAAGCGCAGTGTTTGATGCGATGTTCAATGGTGGTATGGCCACCACGTCATCAGAAGTTGAGCTACCAGACATTGAACCCGCAGCATTTCTTGCCTTACTCAAGTTCTTGTACTCGGATGAGGTGTTGATTGGACATGAAACAGTTATGCACACCCTCTACACTGCAAAGAAATATGCAGTTCCAGCTCTTGAATCAGCTTGTGTTGACTTTTTGAAAAAAAATTTAGGCTCTGACAATGCATTTCTTTTGTTGACGCAGGCAAGACTTTTTGATGAGCCTCAACTTGCGGCTCTTTGTTTAGAAATGATTGATAAAAATACTTCAGAAGCGTTAAGTGCTGAAGGGTTTACCGATATTGACTGGGAAACATTAATTGTTGTGCTTGATAGAGATACGCTTGGAATTCGTGAATGCAAGCTATTTGAGGCAATTGTGCGTTGGGCCGATGCTGAATGTGGCCGCCAAGAACTAAACCGTACATCCGAGAATAAGAGAAAAGTTCTTGGGAGAGCTTTGAAGTTGATTCGATTTCCACTAATGACAATTGAAGAGTTTGCAAGCATCCCAGCACAATCCGGTATCCTTGATGATAGGGAAGTTGTGAATCTTTTTCTCCATTTCACGGTGAACCCAAAGCCAGGCGTTGATTTTCCTTCAAAGCCACGTTGTTGCTTGACTGGAAAGGAACAGATTATTCAGAGATTTCATCAGATTGAAAGTAGATGGGGATACAGTGGAACAAGTGACAGGATTAGGTATGGTTGTCAGTAAATTTATTAAATCTTTCTGACAAACTAAAACAAATTTGCAACAGAAATTCTAAGATGCAAGTGGGAAGGAATAGACAAATAATACTGACATGGACTAAAAAAATTTAAAAAAAAATTAAAAAAAACTTTCTGGAAGTACAATTAATTAGATTGAAAAAAATTATATAGAAGTATGAATAAATAGATTTTATGACTGATTGACGAAGATTCCATGTGGAATCAATTATTTGCCAAGCATACAGTATCGTCGCTCACATCACTAACACAATTGTGTTTGTTCAGAGAAAAAAAGCGTTTCAAAATAAGCATGTATTAGTTGTCATGCAAGTTTGTATTCTGTACCACACAAATGTCTGTAATGACTTCGGCACATATTTTTTAACATGCTTTTTTTTTCACAAACTAAAACATCTACTTTTATTGTGTTAATTTGTGATTTGAGTGACAATGTTATATTTATTATATTTACCTTTAGTTTTTCAATATCACAAATCTTAAATATGATATATATAGAAACTCTTAAGAAGTGAATAGTTTTTGATTGTAATTGTTCTATTATATAGTACTTTCTTAAGTGTGCAGTGCCATGCTGGCCAGTGGCCTAGTTTAATTACTTTGTTGCTTTGTTGGAAATTATGTAATTTTTATAATGTGATTTTGAGCAATCTTATTTCGAAAGATATTTGATTTTTCTGTTGTTGACTTTAGCATGCTTTTTATGTTTTGCCAGGTTTCTTGTTAACAAGCGGATATTTGTTGTGGGCTTTGGATTGTACGGCTCAATTCATGGACCAGCAGATTATCAAGTCAATATTCAAGTAACGTCTTAATTTGCATTCCTAAGTTATTTACTATTTATTTCCTCTTTTGTATATTTATGTGTTTGTGTTTAATAATCCCCCCCCATTTGACCCTGCCATCTTGTTGAATTGGATTTCTGCGGTGTGATACGCACCAAGGATAACACATGAAAGTTCTAAGACTTATTTGCAGGGGTCCGTCTAGTGGTGAATTGGTCAGTACACCGGGAGATGATCCCTACTCTTTTCCAAAGAGTGTACTGCATTCTATAACATGCACATTGACCATAATGCACATGGGACCAACAGCTCAATTGTCTCATCTCAAAGACGGTGAGCTTTTGAAACTTGAATTTGTAATGTAATGTGGTTGGATCTATATAGTGCTTTATACCGAAGTATCAAAGCGCTCGAGGTGTGGACTGGTTCACACCGTAACTTTCTTCTCCCCTGAGGGTCTGTTCGTGAGCTACCCGATAAACCGGTATCAGCTATCTCTCGTTTAACCACAACAGGAGCTGAATGAACCAGTACACCGGGGTAACCCCCACTCGTCTCGAAAGATGTACCGGGTTCTCTATAGTGCACGCAAGCCAGTATTGTGTACGCTGGGCTTATGGTTCACAGTCCTTATCCGAGAAGACTTGTTCCACCACCAGAACCATATGCGAGCTTGCCATTCAAACCGGAGCTGATATCATGGCTATAGGTTGCAGCTCCCCTGCCTTAACCGCTTGGCCGTCCAGCTTGCCCTTAACTGCTTCAGCCCTCCAGCTGAAACACAAGGAGAGCAGCGATCGGAATCGAACCGGGGACCTAGATATCTTCATGGTTCGGCGCACACACGGTGGCTTCCACCAGTTCAGCCGCCTGAGCTAGAGCTCTCTCTCTTTTCCATATTCGAAAATTATAGTAATAATTTGTAAATCATTTCAAATAATGTACTAATAATAACTATTGATTGTTTCAGATAATCCATGCAGATACAGACAATGTACTTGGTCAGAATGATACAGGGTTCAGCTGTGATGGCTCCGATTCTACTTTCCGTGTTATGTTTAAGGAACCTATTGAGCTTCAGCCTAATGTCAACTACATAGCCAGTGCTACATTAAAGGTATCTGAGGTTATTTATTTAAGTAATAAATCATCATTTTATTATTACTACAGTATTTATTATTACAAAGTACAGTAGAAGTGTGGTAAAGTGTCCCCGACTAGGGGTTGACCGTAGTGTTATATTTTTTGGTACATTTGCATTTGTTTTGGTTTTTCTTCTCCATTGTGTCAACGTGAGGCGCTATATAAATCCAGAATTATTATTATTATTATTATTATTATTATTATTAAAAGATGCATTTCCATCACTTTACGGCCAAAAATAGTGTCCCCTTATTATGGGGTGTCCCCTTAATTTAGTGGTGTCCCAAAAGAGTGGTTCTACTATATTTCTATAGCACCTTTACAAAAGTGATCAAAGCGTTGTACATTAAAACGTATTTTTAACAAAGTCATTCTTCATAATAATCATAATCATCATCATTCTTCATATCACCATCATCATGTTTTGTTTATTATTATTGTTATTCTTATTAATATTTCTAGTGTTTTCATCTCCACCATATGAAAAACTTCGGGAGAATGTAGGTTTTCTGCCCAAATCTGTGTCTGTTACTGTTCTTGCCAAACTTAGTATAATTGTAAGGTGTTTCAACAAGGAAATGGCCCTAAAAATATATTGGCTACTGGCTAGGAGTGCATTCATTGTTTCCAAAGGGCAAAGACTTACTTTGTCACCTTCAGTTTTGGCCCACTGCTTGTTATTTCACCTGCCACAATGCATAGTATGAATGTTTGATCATAAATGCTAGATTTACGGATGTTTACTAGCGCATAATGTTACTTATTATTCATACTTTAACTTTCCATATTACCCCTCTTTGATTGTTATATTTAACTTTAAATTTGCTTTGTTGGTATTGTATATATATATATATACAGTATGTTATACTGTAAATGAGCTAGTAAAATAAAATTTGTTTCTCAGAATATTTCATTAGATTGAAAAAAATTACATAGATATGGAATATTTGTTTATAATGAATTTTATAAATTTATTCATATTTTACTCCATACTGAATCATGGTTTTTATTTTTTCTATAGGGTCCTGATTCTTATTATGGAACAAAAGGCACTCGCAAAATGATTCATGAATCTATCCCCAACGGCAAAGTTGTGTTTCAGTTCAGCTACGCTTCAGGCAATAACAACGGTACATCAGTCGAAGATGGACAAATCCCAGAAATCATTTTTTACACGTGAGGTCAAAAAGATAAGTGCATTTTTACGGTAGCGTGGGGAAAATATATTATCTGTGTTTGCATAATGCGCATAAAGTATTAGTTGAAATATATAGTATATACCAATCAATGAACAAGTTCCATACATAGTTATTATAAGAATACTACTGGGTCATTCCGTGCCAACTCAACAAATGGGATGGCTGGGTACCGTCTCAGATTTTCTTACTGATTTGGGTATTTTAATGGGGTCTAAAAATGGAAGAAAAATTATGCAACCAAATAAGTTAGGGTCTTTACGAACCAATATTTTCGTAACGGTGTCCGGTATACCAAAAGTCATGTTATATTCCTGTTCTACAGCCAAAAGTTAGTCTAGATATCAATTTTTAGTTAATTATCTTTATTCTATTTGAAGATATGGCTAATTGAAAATGCAACTGTACAAATATGTCATAATTGATAGCTAAAAAGGGGTATGACCCTAAAATTTCAAATGGCCGTAACTTCTAAACGACTTGGAATTGGCAAGTCAAATTTTGGGTTTGTTCGTGAGACATGTTGGTGCACATTATATCCGAGTTTCAAGAAAATCTGAGACGGTACCCAGCCATGATTTTCTGAAAATTTGTTGAGTTGGCACGGAATGACCCTACTGTAGTTGGCAGAGGAGCCATGATGGAGTAACAAATGCTATGTCACAGAAAAGTGCACAACTATATTAGTAGCTGACATCAGCATCAATGCAGTTGCCGTTTGTTTATTTGAAATATTGGTTCGCTCCATCTGGCAGCCATGTTGTTTTGAAGCAATTTTTCAAAGCAGATCTTCATAGAGGCTCAAATGTGGGAAGATAAAATCAGAGATTATAATCGGTAATATATAACAGTTAAAATTAATAGCATACTGCAGGTCAATAAAGAGATGCCTATTTAAAGTTCTAGAATTATTAGCAATGTTTTGATTTTTTTTATACTGTATATCTTGAAAAACAATACTCAGTTAAAGTTAATCTTCATTTTAAGTGTGACTCTCATAGTCTGGTAGCGTAATTAATTTTGAACCTGCATTCATCCATATGCTATTTAAAAATGTAAACATCAGATACAGTAGTTATCAATCTTGATTGGCTATGATGAAGGTCATTGTCAAATTGTAACCGTAGATGAAGCTGCATGTTAGCTCCTGAGAAGGGCCTGCTTTGCTTGTTAAGTTATACTTTTGAAATCGCTTTTCAAAATTTTGTATTTTTAGTGAAGACAAACACCAGAAATAATGTCTTTTTAATATCTTAGTTAATATAATCATTTGTTTAAAACCACAGGAAAGAAAGTTGTTTTATATGCAAGATAATATCAACAACATGCTTTAATTTCATTTGAGCTTATTCCTAAAAAAAGTTACCGGTATTGTTTTTTGATCCAAGAGTATATTAATGATTTAGCTTTGCTTGAGTTTATTCTTTACCATAACTAAAATGAAGTACTGTGTATGTGGATACTGAGGATTGTGTCACCATGCATGGAATTCAACAGACTGACACAGATGTACTGTTGACAGTATAAGTCCATCCAACTATGATTTATTCTGAAATCCAAAATAACAATTTGAATAACTTAGGCCTACATTAAATTGTTAAGTAGATGTTATAAAACCCAGTACTAGCTTATAATAAACCAATAGCTGGGGTAAAAGGTGAAATCTCATACCCATTTTGTGTGAGATATTTGAAGATTAGTTTGGCCAATTGAAGGGCGATAACAGTTCTAACCTTGGCATTGTCAGTTGGCATTTCAGTGTGACTCTGGATTTGCCCATCATAAAGCTGACTTGTGTCTGGTCGTCGTCTTCTAATTTTTTATTTATGCAACAGACCCATAGAGCTTCTCTGAAGCATCAGAGAATATGTGCAACTGATCAGACTCTCGGTGTCCCACTCCTGCTTTGATTTCCACAGATCCTGCCCTAGTATTATAGCTTGTGCTACTGTATATAGGGTCCCAGGAAACCGATTGGATATTGGATCATACTGACTTGCCAGAATCTTGTAAACCACTCGTATGGTTAGTACATCATAGTTGTTTGGGTTTGGATGGTAGTCGGTTTGACATTTCCATTCTCAGTCCAAACATGGGATCTTGGTTGTGGAACTTGACTCAGTCAAGTTCAAGTTTGGTGCTACTGCATCTAGTGGTAGGTCCTAGACTACTCACCCACTGACTAATGTTAACTTCCTAGCCTCTTTTTTGTCGGCAGACTATCTAGGCAGTTGCCGCATGCCTGGTGCACAGATCAGACGTCTTCATATCCATTCTCATGAGTAGGGACATGTTTCAGTTGGTCAAATGTGGCACAGCAGGGACCGAATGGCAAGACCTGCCACTCGTAGATTTGTGGTTTGGTAGTTGATTTCACATCTCTTCACAGGAAACAGTAAGGGTCGATCTTCAAGGAGTAGTCATATTTGGTAAAACATGTCTTGTATGTGTCCTGAGATGGTTATTCAGCGTTGTCTAAATCGAAGGATGAGTCCTATGAGTGTAGCGCCAGGAGTTGGACCGGCTAGTAGGTGTTGTTTTAAATTTTTTGCCTTGGTATTCGAAAAAAACCGTTGAAGACCAGTCTATTCATCATTATGAGTCACAACATTGTGCTGAACAAGCCATGATGCAGTTGATTGATTTAGTCTTTTCCTGGAGTGATGAAGGTGTCATCCACAAACTTTTTGATAAGGCAGTTGTGAGTTTCTGTTAAAAGTGGAGTCGTCTTTCATTTTGTTTTAGTAAGGGAAGTACTGCGTCAGGTCCAGCCTTGAAAGCGATGCCATTATTTACATGTACAGTAGTAGAGGAGTGGCATAAAGATTGGCTCCATCGACATTCAATTTGATTTTCATCTCTAACAACTCAAGTGATTGGTTGTTTTGGCAGGATCTTGTTGCCCGCTTGGAGTATTGTAGGGTATCTACCTCCCATAGTGGCTTGACATTTCTCATCAGGTCTTGATTTGTTGCTATAAATAATGATGTATTTGGCTGATTGGTTAGGAAGGTAGAAGGGCGCTGGAGAGTCTAACCCAAGGCTGTTTCGAATGGCTGCTGGCTCCAGATTGACCAAGTCTTACTGGCTCTTGAGGTGTCATCAAATTTTGTGTTATCTGAGCCTCTAAAGAAGTAGTGGTGTAGCACTGTTGCATTCCATGCATGGTGACACAACCCTTAGTATCTACATACACAGTACTTCATTTCAATAACCATAAATAAATCATTACATAGTGAGTGCATAAGCTGTAAATGTTTACACAGACATGTTTTAGTTCTGATCCTGAGTACACTAATGACATTTTAAAACTCAGATCCTGTACATACAGTAGTTCTTGTCTGGTAATGAAAGCAAACTATGCAGACAACAGTACGCAGACAGAAAGGACTTGCAATTGGCTGTCCAGTATTACGGACTATCTAGAAATATTGTGCCTGCTTTTCGCTTTCATTGTGGAATGATGTGAACATGTATCTACCAAGAAGCGCCTCTTTACGGCTGCTAGGTAGTCACTGACCACGCCCATTCACAATTCAGCACAATGACGCAAGTTATGGGTTATTCTCTTACCTTTACCTACCTTTACAAGAACACACTGCATGGTTTGTCGGTCATATTCCTTACTACGAAGCTGTTTTGTTTTTTAAGTTCTTGTATCCTACAGTGAGTGACTCAATACTTTAAAAGTGGTACTCCATAGTCTCATGGTGGGAGCCGTGAGAAGCAGAGTTAATTTTTAGTTATGATAAATATATGTATAAAGCCAATTACTTGGAAAAAGGGTTACCTGAAAGATTTCGTCTTTATTTTCTCAATAAATTTTGAGGTAAATCTACTACCACCTACTTATATATATATAGCCTATATATATATATATTTGTTTATATATGATGAGACACTTCAACAACATCGATTCATTATGAATTTTATATATAATGCATCAGTAGAAAAACCAGATAAGTCACATTTTAAGAAAGTATATAAAATTGAATTTTAAAGTTTGATACTCAATATCTCCTAAAATAATCAAAGTAAATTGTTGATGTTTGGCAATTTGGTTCATTGTATTGTTATGGTTCCGATTCCCCTGGAGTTAAGTGTCATGATGGAATGGCCTTCGGGAAATGCTGTGGTAAAGTTCACCTCCCTTCCCCCTCCTAAGTGGCCCATATACTGTATGGTCTCAAATCAAACGTGAATTTGTAATTTTTGTAATGCACTTTTTCTGCCAATGACCCAGGCTTCTCTATTCTTTAGGTTATCTTTTAAACAATGGCTGCTATATTTTAATGTTACTATGTGTGTGAATAATTTCTTTTTAACATATCATCATATCAGATTGAAATGACACATACTGTCGTTTGCAGATTTATACTATTAAAACCTGGCATTGATTCACTGTTTTAAATTCAAAAGTGAAAATACATTGACCTTAATCACAACAAGATACTGTGATGTCTTATTAAAACAATATTATTTTAATAACATACTCAACAACAACTTAAAGGCAACATGCTCATTAACTATGCAAATTGTTAATTACGAATCTTGAACTATTGCATAACATTTTATGGAAATATGTACATGTGTTAAGTTCAGAAATCTAGAGAGTGAATAATTTTCTTATTGACCTAACCTACTGTTTATCATTATTTACTGTAGCTGCTCTTGGTCAGAGAATTCTGAATCTGAATCAGCAGGCACATCTTCACCAATGGGGAGGTCGTCATAAAAAGCATGATTTTCAGGTTTGCAAAGTCGCTTCAGAACTTGTAGATCATCATACTTTGACTTTGATATTGGCAGTAGCCCAGTGTATGACATTTCCAAGACCCCACTTGATTTTGCTTTTGCCTTAGGAACTGGTTTTCGAATAACCGCAGACACAAATGACCCATTCCAATTATTGCAGTACATAATAACCTGGGGGTAATTATTTTCGTATTTTAGCTCCCTTATTGGCCTAGTGGGTGCAGGGCACGCCCCCTTAAACTTTCCGAATAAGGAAAGATGTAAATGAATAGAATGAATTCTGGTCCATTGTCAACACATTAAATGGTGTTGGTTTTTTCCTGGCAGCAAGAAACATGTCTCTCCATTCCTGCGGGCCTCTACATCGGCTT